GCATTGACAATGCGAGGCCAACAGTCAAATTCAAATAAACATTTTACGTCCACAAAATCTTCACATGTCACTAATTAAATACAACAATTTTTACTCTTTTTAACATATATTTCATATTTCAGATTCCCAGGCAATGTTTTGCAAATTTTGAAGGCTGTAATAATATAGACGGACATTTGGGTAAGTTGGAATTTTGAAGATCAACATGTTAGAAATAAGAAATTTTCTTAAAACGCTTTGTATTAGACATACTTAATTATTTAATTTTGCCTTTATACTTAACTTTTGATAACTGCATTAAATGATAACATTTTTTATTTTACACTTTTATCTCACCCAGAGACAGATGTTGTAGAAATTGGCGCTGGCTGAAATGTATGAAAAAAATCCATTTTAGCGAAATCCATACCTCTAGGAAAATTATTATCATTTTATTTCAAGAATAGTTCCAACATTTCAATTCTTAATTTTGTCTTAATTTGATGATTTTCAGTATGCGAGTACCATTTAGAAATCGCTGATGCCTACACGATGACATATGAAAACGACCGGGTGGTAGCCGACTGCACCAAACCCGATGGCTCCCGGTTGGAAAATGGCTGCGTGGCCTGTAAACTGACGGAGGGCGGAAACTGCGGGGGAAATGATTCGGTTGCCTCCATCCCTTTTGGTGAGTATTTATTTTAATTGTTAATGGAGTAGTTTACTGCAATTTGTGTTTAAAAAACTATACCCTAAAGGTGCTTTGAGGGTGCATCAAACGATCCTTCCAAAAAGACAGCTAGATTAGACACCGTGCAGTGTAGTTCCAATACAATCAAAACCATTTGTTTTTGTTTTTATAAAGATACCCTATTTCTATTTCAGAAAGCATCAACACTGGCGATGGTATATTCCGCAGAATAGTTACAGTAAATGGTTCTCTAGTCGGTCCAATTTTAAGAGTAAGTACAGCTATTTTAAAATACGCTGTGCGTACACATATGTTCAAAATGAAAGTAATTACTAATGAATTGAATTAAAAAACGACACCTACAATCAAAATGCGCAGAATTATACAAACTGTTAGGATAGGTTCGAAGACCAAAACTAGAAAATGATATCAGTCCCTACCTCTGCATTTATTTATTTATTTATTTATTTATTTATAACTCATTCTCCATCTTTTCCATAGGGTAAAGTTGGAGCCCAAATGGTCATTCACGTGACCAACCACCTGTACGACAGTCCACTGACTATCCACTGGCATGGTCAGTTCCAGTACCTGACCCCGTTCATGGACGGCGTCCCTATGATCACACAGTGTCCTATTGAGAAAGGACAAACCTTCACCTACAGATTTAAGGCGGATCCTGCTGGTAAGAAAGACTTCCATAGGTTGAGGACATAGAATATTTGGCAACTGCTAAATCAGTGTTTAGTGTATGTGAAATATCATTTAAATTTTTTTTCAAAATATCTATCATTGATTTTGTTAGAAATAATCGATGTCAACTGGTTGGGGTGTTATACATAAGAACAGATTTTATAACACCACTTTGGCCAGTTCAGACGAACTGCATTAGGGTCAAATCAAAAGTTTTCTGTAAAAAAGTATGAACACGGCCAATGCATTATCTACATGTAAAGCATCTAAATGATCGCCTAATTAAATTACAATTTTGATTGTATTTGTCAAGGAACCTTCTGGTATCACGCCCATACAGCCGGAAAACGCTCAGATGGCGGACTAGGAGCTCTCATTATTCACGAAGATAACGAGCCTAATGCCGTAGAATACGACCACCGACCAAACCTCGGATTTGCAGCCACTCTCAGAGGCCCACCTCCACATGACAAGCACGTGGTCACTCTCCTGGACTGGCAGCACGAGCAGACGTCGGACGTTTGGCTTCAACAAAATGGCGGCAGTTGGTTCTGGCCCAACAATCCTGCGTTTCCCACAAAAGAGGATCGTTTCAGCCTCAGTTTTGGACCCGATGGCGTCGCCGTTGCTGGGATACCTTACGTGTCGGCTTTAATCAACGGTAGAGGGCGCTTCGAAAATCCACTGTGGCACCAAGACGCTCCAGAGGAGAACAACAAGGTTCCTTATGAACGGTTCTACGTTGACCAACCGCAAAAAGGCATTAGACCTCAGAAATATAGGTTCCGTATCATTGGTGCTCAGCTGCAGTTTGCTCTAAGGTTCTCCGTCGATGCTCATCTAATGACCGTCATCGCATCCGACGGGTTCGACATGATGCCGATACGCAACGTGGAAAGTCTGATCGTTAACCCCGGTGAGAGATACGATGTTGTCATCCTTGCTGACAATCCACTTAACCGACAAGCATACTGGATCAGGGCTGCTCCTCACATCAGTAATCCCGGATACGACACCGGCAACTACTCCCTCCAGGAAGGCAAGGCGCTGCTGATTTACGGAGACGAGACAAGCCCTTACATCTATCCCGAAGACGTCTCCGAAGTCTCTCGCCCTTGCGTTCAGAACCCCAACAGAAAGTGTGTAATCGTCAACTGCAATTACAACATCCTCCCTTCCAGTTACAATGCCAGGTGTATCAACCCGGGGGAGTTCAGGAACAGAATGGGTGCTGTCCAGGTACCTGGTGTACGAGAATCACGCATTGAGAGGTCCGAAAACCTCTGGATGAACTTTGCCTTCCAGACAGGAGGACCAGGTGTGAACGGGATATCATTCCGGGAACCGACCTCCCCTCCTCTCTCTCAGCCGGACCTCCTTCCCTGGTCCATTACAGAGTGTCCAGGCACCTGCCGAGACTCAGATAACTTGGGAGGATGTAAATGTACCGGCACTGTCAATCTGAACTACAACAGGCCTTACCAGTTTGTCTTTACCAACGTTGGGGCAGGTGGAGCCAACAGTAAGTAGAAGTAGAGCAGGTTTCACTTCTATATGAATATCTTAATCTCTCATGTACATGTATATGCCCTATTGTGAAAAATCTGCCTGTGTCCATTGTTTTGTGAAAGTGTTACATGTTGAGCCCTTTCTTATTTTATGATTTTCAGAATGTTTCTCAAGGGTATTTAGACACAACGAATTTATTAACAAACTATCCTCCAAAGAATGCCGATTCGCGTTCAGATTTCTAAAATTTTGATGGAAAATATAACCCCTCATTCCAGCTGGCGCCCCGCACCCCGTTCACATGCATGGCCACAGTTTCTACGTGTTGAAGGTGGCCTATCCAGAACAGTCCCCGGACGGTCACTTTAACAGGATACATCCGGACATCTGCTGCCCTTGCCCGGATGATGAGTCGCAGTGCTGTACCACTATTGACGACAGGTATGTTCAAGAGTGGACATGTAGATGATTTTCCAATTAACTGAAGCCAAGTCAGAACGCAATTGCCATCAACTGAAGTTGAATTTTATATTATCATGGTGCTACGTGCATTTGCATTGATATGCCCTGATGGCGTATTTGGCATTTTTTGTTTCTCTAGAGTCTGTTGATACCAGTGCACTAAATAACTCATTTCAAACAGTTTGCTCAAATTGTAAAACTGGTTTATAGGATGAAAGGCTATGTCAGGGCGTTATGTCTTATTCAAGATTTTAGAGGCTGAAAAGTTAAATAAATTTTCCCTTTAGTGTCCTCCAAGTTAATCCATCACAATCCAAAGTCAAGCAGCATGACAAAAAATTGGGTTTATCCTTATTTAATTCAACATTTTTTTTGCTCTCCAGCAATAGACACCTGACCACTTCCACGGGGGGCGTGGTTCTGTGTAACAACCCACGGTTCGTGGAAAGCCGTTGGAACCAAGACCCGAACAGAATTCAAGGACTGGAACTGGCTCGTCCTCTGCAGAAAGACACCATTATCGTGCCAGCAGGGGGGTACACAGTGGTTAGGATAATGGCCAATAATCCGGGTGGGTAGTTTTTTAATCAAACAGTTTCTTTTTACCAAGTGTTTCCACCTGGAATGCACATTCGACGTTAGCTAACTAAACTGTAGGACCCAACAGATCTTAACTATTATCGTTTGTGAACGATGTCGCCAAGCTTCTATCGGATTTCCGTGTATCAGAATTTGGAATAATACCCATCTGCTAACAACTTTATAAAACAATCCTTTTACAATTTATTTATTTTTAAACGAGGCCTATCTTTACTGTACCGGCTCAGTCATATCTTAACATCATTCCAATTCATTGATATTACTGTCCTATCACAATATATTGTGTTATTGGTAAAAATGATCATAATTATGATACATATCAGCCCATGTCTGAACAGAAAGGCCACAAACCATTTATCACAGGGTAGATAGTACAGTTGTATAGCGTTATTAAGCCTGAAATATTCTCTGTGCACTTTAGGTTGGTGGTTGGTCCATTGTCACATAGAAATGCACGCAACAGGAGGGATGGCGTTCGTGATGAACGAGGCTGCCAGAGAGCAGAGGCAGCTTCATAAACCCAGAGGATTCACCACGTGTTCCAACTTTGAGTCCTCGGCACAAGACTACTACGACGCCATGGATGTAACCTTTCTTGATGGATGATTGGAATATTTTCATTCCTGTTATTCTTGTCGTTCATAATTATAGTTGTGTAAGCTAAGAAATATAGAAACCTTTTATCAAAGAAAACACTTGTATTAGCATCGCTAATTTTTAAAATAAACGTGTTTCTTTGAATGCTATTTAATTCTCACGTCAAATCAGTAGCTCTTAATAATGTATCGGGATTGTTAATTGTCTCATTATATTTAAAACATGTCCTCTGAAAATGATATTTAGTCATTTATAATGGTATCAGTACTTTAAATGGATTGGTGTGTATATGCATTTTTTCAAGGTTAAGTTATTTGAAGTTAAATATACTTTTTCATAAAACAAACATTGTCTTCTGTCTTGTCCTTTGAAAAAAAAATACTTCTAACTTTATATACCGCGTTTTGCCAAAGTTAGACTCAGAAAACACTTAAATTAAAACTGGTTGTTATGATAGTGTCATACAATGTTTATGGACAATGTTTATGGACATTAATTGTCTTCAGAATGTACCCTGACTGGTCCTCAACAACTTCACACGAAGAAGTAATAAATGCGTTGGTTCGTATTCTACACATCGACAGTGTTGTATTAATGATGAAATTTAAAAATCAAATCTTTGTTACTTTAGTACAAATTGAGGGGATGTTTTTATAGGTGTAGTCATTTACCTAGTGAAAGGTTTTAGGTTGAGACCGCAGCGTCGGTCAGTAGCTAATTGTAAGTTCCAGGATCAGATCTAGAGTTATTTATATTTATCAGTTTCTCGAAATGTTCCACACGTTAAATTCAGCTATTCTGTTATTCCAAGGAATGAACATCCTGATTTTTCAGTGTATGTCGCCATTGTCGTCTGTTTCACTGGACAAACAATCCGTAAAATATTGAGAAAGTTTATCTGAAGGATAAGGTCCCCTGTATAGTTAACTAGGCCATTCCGTACATTAATCTTGTGAAAGCTTGAAAATCCGAGTTTTTTTTTCTAAATTTAACAGTTCGGATGTCCATTTTATCCCAAGTCACACAGTTTGGCAAATGAATACTCGAAAATAAGGCACGATGCAACATACGGTTTCAGTCATTTCGTTAGAAAATATTGGCTCTAATAGAAATCATTCGCAGGGTTTGACCATTACCTGCAACGCATCTGAATAGGCCGCAGAATAACAAAAATTTTCATTTTAAAATATAATTTATTAAATATGCACCCCAATCGCTTCATATAATTTGATAACAGAAGAAAAGTTTACCCTCTTTCTCTATAGCAGTGTTATACAGTGCTATAACTACACTAATCATGTTTATCCTAATTTCGTGTACTGTTAAACTTTACAATAAATATATTTATTAAATTTTAACAAAATATACATTATCACTTACCATAAATGGTATGCGTTTGTTATTTAAATAACATTCCGGCACATGAGGTACTGACGTAAACAAACAATATAAATATGTAAGGAAATAGTCGAGATGAACAATGTTAAATAACAATATAAAACGACAGTACCAAAATTGTGCAAATACAACCTCATTCTGTTACACTGTATTATCTACAGAAAAATGATTACAATTACCTTGAGCTTTGTGGTTTTATTGCTTGTATTTCCAACACAGCATTTGTTCGATGTACGAGATCTAAGACTAACATGCAGTCTTGAACAATTTTTACAGGTCATAACATTTTTAATGTTCTCTCACGTAAAATCTTTCATATCCAAATAAATTAAATCTTTATGTACATATATACATCATCAATGACAAAAGTCCCAAGACTGCAATAAGAAAAATACAAATTGTGTAAGTCAACAATGTGAATGGGACTTGACAAGTACAAAAAACGGATGTACCATTCGCATACATTAAAACAAATTCACCATGCTCATCATCATCAATAAATACTATGAAACTTAACAATCTGCTCTGTTGACCAACGCAGAAATCGTCGCAACTTATTCGAAAACGTCCCTGAAAGTCACATGACCCTCCCTTTCACTGACGTCATCATACGCGTCCTGTCTACTCAAGGGCCGGTGACCTCTGATTTGGTCCCTCTCATACCATCCGCCTTGTACGGTCATATACTGGTCCGAGGTTAACACTTTGTATCGTGTTTGTGAGCGTTTGGGCGGGTAAGGTTTCTCGTTCGTAGGGTACCTTCCGGGTACGTGGTACCAGGCAGCTCCGTGGTGGACACCTTTAGAAATGTCCCGAGGCGCTGGGGGCGGTCCCAGGAGGCTCTTGACGCTGCTATGAGGGCCCTGGATAGTGAAGGCATTGTCTATATCTATGCTATGTTCGGTTGGAATGTAACATCTGGAACGGTGGACCTCGTGCGACGTCATCGACGACTGAAAACTGCGCCCGGTCACGCCGGAGATGGCGCTTCCCAGACGACTCAGAATCCCCGACCTTGACCCCGTGTGTGACGTATGAGATCCCGGGGCCTGGTGAGACGCGGCGTGGCTTCTGGCGGAATATTTTTCGAAGAGGGAAGCTGGACGAATGGGCACGCTTCGGGTTTTGTTGGCCTTCTTTTTCAAGGCACCACTATGCGTAGTGGGGCTCGCGCTGTGTTGGCTCTCAGTTATGCCGTATTGACTCTCCACTTCCGGGGCAAAACTTTCAATGTGCGTCGGCAATCCGACCGGAGTCGTCGGCTCTTCCTCCTCCGCCGTCGGCTCCAGGGCCATGTGTTCCAACCTAGAGACTAAATCAGCATCGTAGTTATCTCTGTCAAACCGATCATAGGTCATGCTGAGAGAACGCGATTTCATCAAGTTCTTGTGCAGGGGTCCATTGGATTGCTGCTCGTTCTGCCCGTCGCTATGGTACCCATCCTCACTGATCAGATCCCCGCAGGAACCGCCAAGGTCGTTGTTCGTGAATCGACTCTGGGGCCTGCTGGGCCAGTTGCTGTCCACCTGGCTGGTTCTGGTTGAAAGGTACCCGCTTTTTGGCCTCCAAGAGCTTCCGGACTCGGACTTGCTGCGTTGGCTTATCTTCATCAAGTCCTTGTCACGGAAACTGAGGCTGCTGCCTGGCCGGTCTCTGGACCTCCTGTCAGTGGGCTTTGCAGGGCCGAAGTCGTATTTGCCCAGTTTCAGGGAAGTTTCTAGGTCCATCAGTGATTTTCGCACGGCCTTGGTGACATGGTGTTGTGCCCCTGATAAAAAAAGAACTCAATGAATTTATCCCTCTCTGTTGAAGCACTTCAAACAGGGTTAATACAAAGATTTTACATAAGCATTTGGTGCATGTGGTGCATTTGTAGCAATTTTGTTATTTCTGGGTCCTTTTTAATATTAATCCCTAATTTCTACAAATGAACAATGCCTTGCTGAAGTACAAGGAAGTCTATTTAGTAGAGACAGAAACTTTTATAGCCAGTAAGATGAAAATGCCCTTACCTAATTTCTGAGTTCTTATATCCAAGGCTCTCATCATTAGCCCCCTAGCCTCTGTCTTACAGGCTAAGCTACCTTCAGACTTCAGGAGTTTACCTGGAAGGATGAGGACAATCACATAAGTATATTTTACTAAATATACTTAATATGGTTTGATTCAACTGAAAAGGTTCTCTTATATAAATATTAAAAATTTACTATTTAGCCAATTCTGCCAAAAATGCAAACTTATTGACATAACCAAATTTTACTTTAAAATCTTCAGAAAATGATGGTAATTTCTTTATGAATACTCAATACAAATTTATCTTTCGATTGCTTTAACAGAAACATGAGCCAAATCTTTACGCACATGGTTAAATTTCAAAGTCAGATATTTACCAAGGTGAAATAATGTTGTTGCCACTAGGAGGTGCTCTGAGCCAAGACACTGCTCTCTGATTTTCAAAGCTCTCCTGTACAAGTCCTCTGCTTGCGCCTTGTCATATCTGGTAGAAATGGAAAAAATATGTTAACTTTGATAATACATGTTAAAAGTTCATTATTTAAAAAATCTAAATTATGAAGAAAAATCTAAGAAGATAAGTTTTAGTTAACTTTGTAATTTCCCTTTTGATCAGATTGTAGAAGATGCCCAGGCAAAAATATTATATTTAATAAAAATGAAAGTTATTTTCAACTTCATTGACTAAGTGACTGAATAAGAACAATTAAGAATGCATATCATTCAGTAACCCTACTCTGAACAAATTACAAGGTACTTGACAACACATATTTAACACAGCCACAAATATACTAGTTAATCTCCAACTAATTCAGTTCAGCTGTTCATGTATTGTACAGTAAATACAACCAGGTAGGCTCAAGTCTAAGTAAATGGCCTTGGTGACAAACTTACCCTCTGGTATTCTCTTTACAGGACAGTAGTCCCCCCAGGTCATTGAGGACTTCGGCCACCACAGGGTGGTTCTTTCCAAACCACTGCTCACGGATGCTCAAGGCTAGTCTGTAGCAGGATTCTGCCTTTACAAAGTCAAGCTGACGCATCCTGGAAGAAAATGATATTTTATGAATTATTCAATGCTTGCACCAGGCTTGAGTCCTAATTTATATTGTGTCTTAATTATCATTCATTCCCTCTTCTGTGCATAATTAATATTGTCACTTTGAAAGAAAAGAGATTCCTTTTGTAGATATCAGCCTTTACATTCTCAAATACATGTATATATCATGTTCAGTGTCAAATTCATCAGTTACAGATACTGTTAGCTACAATTTGTGATGTGTAGCTACTTCTCTTTTTGACAAGCTCATATCACCGACCTAAAGCTAGTCATGTAATATTGAAAAGACATAGTTATATACTGTTTTCACATCAAAACAACTGCATTTTAATCACTCTCCCAAATCACCACAGTATTCTCAAACCCCTGAAAATACTCTCTAAGCCCTCACCTCAGCACCCCTAGGTGGTACTGCACCGTGGCTTTCCCTGGCACACTGAAGGCAGACTCCATACACTGCTGGGCCTCCAGCAACTGTTCCTCAGCCTCTGAGAACTTGCTGTCGTAGATCTTCATGGTCCCCAGGCAGTCCAGCAGACGTCCTGAAAGAAAACAAGAAATATTATGTATAAATTATGTCCAATCACAAAGAATTTGATATGAAGTTTTAGAATATACATTTTAATGGGGTGATTATGTATATTACACATGCATCCATGCACTCATACACACACACACACCATAAGACCATACTTAACTTATAAACAAATTTAAACACATTAAAAACATCACTTCTGCTATAAAAGCATACCTGATATCTAGTCAGAGACTTAATATCAAATTAGTAAAAAAAAAAAAAAATCCACTGCAGATATTTGATAAAAACACTTTCTCACAACCACACACCTTTGGTCTCAAGTGCCTGTGCAAAGTCATCCACCTCAAGTCCCTCATCTTTGTACTCATTCTGCGTCTTCAGCGCCTTCTTGTACCAGGTCTCCGCCATGTCTTTCTTCAGCTGGTAGAGGTAGAGATCGGCCACAGATTCCTGGATCACACACAACAGACGCTGGTCTTCCTCGCTCAGGGGATAGTTCTGTAATAATACACAGAATCAGTGCTGGAATATGGTGATATTTCTTTAATATGACTTATATCTAGGTGTGCTAAAACAAAATGCCATTATTTTATTATGTTAAGAGGACACAAGATTTTTCAATATATACTGAATTGAAAACTTGACTGTCTGGTACGACTGAAATTGCAAAGGGAGTCAGATATTATCATCCATACAAAAAAGAAATCTTTGGTAAAACAACTCTTCTTAACAGAAGGTCCCAAATGCTCAAATTAACAAAAGTCAATGAGATTCTGCAGTCTTTAACAATACACCTGAATTTAGAGATACCAAAAGTCTAGGATTCTGCAGTATAAAATGGCAGAGTTGATCAAAATCCATCCTTGAACCTCTTCAGCCAAGGTGTAAACCTACCCTGTACAGTTCCTCATGAGCATACAGCAGTATCTGCTCTGCCTCCTCGAAGCAGCCGAGCTCGGAGAGGAACACGCCCACACTTTTAGCCAAGAACGCCTTGTCTCTCTGCAGCATCACAGGGGTGCTTGGACGGGAAGTCTCGGATGCATCTGGAAGATTCAAAATCAGTTGAAACAGCTGTTATAATTTATCTTTGAAAATATACAAAGTCAGCAGCCAGTTTTTCTTTAAAATATCTAGTTTTTCTAATCACGATAAAATGCTATCATACACTTATGTCATTACACAACAAAGATTCTGTTTTTCTGTTCAGCTTTTATTAATATCATAGTAAAAATAAATCACATGTTTTGGCAACTTCTCATATGTTACAAAAATCAAATTATCTTCAACATTATATTAAAACAATATGCTTCCTCACTGTCCTTACCTGACTGAGATCCAGCATCGCTGACCATGGAGCTAAGGCTAGTACTGGACATACTGGAGCTGATACTGGGGGCATCTTCCTGCTGGGATTGCTGCTGCTGAGATGGAGGCTGGAAAATATTACAAACACTTTTATAACGCTGATTTGAAATCTTTAAATCTAATTGCATTGTATCTTATATATACATAATTTGAACTATTTGTGACTTTTGGTTGAGACAGTGTTAACTTCAAGGTGGTAAAATATTACTGGGTGCAAAAATTCAAAAGATGTCACAACATTAACATGCTTCATCCCAACACAAACAATTAGGTCCATAGATGCTTTAACAGTTATAAATACATAATTATAACTAAACAACATTTAAAACTAATTGTTTTTCTATGCCCCTCCCCTACTTCATACACTCAGGTTTGTTTTATTGCCTCAAGTTATTCTCCCCTCATACATTTCTTCAGCCATATAAATAGAATTAATCTTGCAGGATGAACTGTTACTATTATCATTTTTTATTACATTTACTTGTTTTTGTCCATTTTTGCTTAGAATTTTTTGCCATTCGCCAAAAACAGTTTGATGCCTCTACCTCCCTCTTAAATCCTGCTACAAACTTTTTATTCATGCAATTATTATTTTTTAAATTTTCTCAACAAAGTTAACCCTATACCCATAATTCGTGTGTAGTTGGGAGAAGGTTAATGGTCAGTACCTGGGTTTTGTAAAGTGACCCACTGGAGGTCACTCGGTGCAGGGAGGCCTCGCTGGCGCGGGAAGTTAATATGACGGGAATTACGGCATTTTGCGCTGAACTGACAGAGAACTGTCCAGACATTGGATCGATTTGGTCTGATGAGCGTGCTGGATAGGATGACGACTATATCAAACCAAAGAGAGAGAGAGACATAGAGAGTTAGGAGACAAAAAAGGTGTTACACCACAAAAAATTACAAATACAAACACAAAAGTGCAGGTTGTTTTGAAAAAAAAAACATCAATAATTAATAAACTATAATTATAGAAACAACACCTTAAGAAAATCAACTCACAGTACTTAAACTATACTAACTAAAACTAGTATTGACGTCTAGGCAGTTCTCACATCACATTCATGCACTTTAAGTCAGCATGCAAATGTATCCTTTCTTCTCATTATTTCTCTTTGGGTTTTTCAAGTTTGGTTTTACCATCTTTTTTTTTAATTTAATACAAATACAATTTTTTATTTTCTGCTATTTTTTTTAATGAAAAAGTAAATATTTTCACTGCTTTACTGCATTTTTTTAAGAATATAACTTTCAGAGAACAATGTACTATATTTGACCTTAAAAATATGGACAAAAATCACAAATTATTGGGTCGTCATTTGTGCTATAATTTTTATGTCACTATCCTAATAAAAACTTTTGTCTTCAGCAATCCCACCAAAAACACCTACACACCAATGTAAGCTTTGACAATAAGTCAAACGTTCACACACACACACACCAATCTAACTCCTAACAAACTACAGTTAGTACAAACTCACACTTTTTAAAATATATTTCTGACCTATCAACAGATGATGACTCTGTGTTTGATGCCGTTGAGCTTTCCTCATGAGAACTCTGACAGAACACTGGACAACATTTTGTTCATAGTCATAGAACCCATATGCCGATAGTCTAGGCTCTTCGAGTTCAGAAAGTGTTATTATGTCTGGTAATCTCAATAAACACACTAAATCTAGTATTACCTCCACATAAGGTTCTGTGCATTTTAAACTGAGGCCAGGGCAGGCATCAGAGTTCACCAGCATCATGGGATATACAACGCGGGGGTCATAACCCGCGTCCTTGAGCAGCTTCCAGTAATGGAGGAGGTCTAGCTTGCGGCAGTGGTACTGCTTGTCGTCACCAAACATGTCCAAAAACACACTAAGGTAAGAAAACGAAAATTATATGTATTTATTGTTAAAAATTAACTCTTTATCAATAAACTGGTGTATATGACTGTCTTTGTGCTGCATTCTACTTACACATACAGTAAAAGATAAACCAGACAACTGTAGGGCCAAATTTATCTAAATGTACTGAATTTCATATTTCATCTTTTTGATGCAAAAAAATTGTAGCTGATTTACACTTTATTCAAACAGTCCTAGCTTTTTTGTAAAAGAGCTAAAACATATTTATCTTGTCTGACATATTCACCTTGGCTGGGACAAAACCTCACAAAGTTTCTCCATATCTCCACAGCGTTCCAGCTGCCATGTAAGCTCATCCGTCCTTCGCAGGGAGTTCTTCTTCTCGTAGAAGTAGGTAGCTAAGACCTGATGGAAATGTTGCTTGCTTGTTTCTTTGTTCTGAGTGAGGCTGAGAGTGCTCTCCACGGCTGCTGGTGTTACGCAACCTAAGAAAGATAGAGGGTGGTATGATCACAGGAGTTATCAAATAATCTTTTCCGCAACAATTCTGTCATGATATCATGCATCAAACTTAATCATTTATCTCTTATGTAATTATCTTCTGATTGAATGCACTTTTTACCATGGAATGTTCCTATTAATTCTTAATATGTTGCTGTGAAATAAGCACCACCTAACCATTATGATATGAAGTTCCCTTGCCTGCTTAATAAGTCAGCTCTATAGCTATAGATTTTCATACAAATTGCTTAGCATTATCAGACAATCCCTTCATAACAATATTCTGCCATGAGATATACTGAAACAATATCAACTGAAAATAAACATAGCTGTATTAATAAGCCTTTTTCAAAAATATCATGCAATAATTGCCTTCAGCACTGCTGTTCAAATTCCTTTAAAAAATATGGGCAACCAGGCAAAAATCCATACACAGTAATAAGTAAACAACCAGGATACTGCTAAGCGGAATAACAAAAATGTTCTTAGTAGGATCTACCTCTAAGGGGAGTGGACTGGCTACAATGAAGGTGGACATACATATCAATACATGACATACAAATAAACCCATAGCTGTGCAAACAACCCTTCACCGTTTGAAACTAAAAAAAAAGCTGCTACTACTATACACATGTAAAGCTATACCATACCTAACCATGTTTTGGGCCATTTCCAGTACGTATCTGAGATAGAATGGTGACAAGTTACACTGCTGTGAAACTTGAGATCGGAACAGTGTCTTCCTATCATGCAGTATGTATGCATGTGTGTAAGTGTTGATTTTGATTTATAATCATCACTCAATACACTTAATAACCATACCCATGCAGATAGAATCATGCTTTTCTTGACCAATGAACAATGGAATATATAATTTTTTTAAAATATACATATCTATAAATCTATATTACACATATAGAATCATCGTATAAGTGTTGTCAGTGGAGCATTTATATCTAAGCATGCAGCTACAACAATGCAACACTCTTATTGGTTCACACTATGCATTACAAGAGCAGTGATTGGTCAGTTTAGTTACCTAGCAACGCATATTCCACGGCCTCCTTGAGGTGTTGATGAAAAAAGTTGATCAGTCCACCAGGGTGCTGTATGAATGATTCCGTGGCAACAGACTGAAGCAGCGCCCAATCAAATGATGTCACAGTAGATTTGCCATGGTAACCAAGCTGCTTTAAGACCTCCAAGATCTCTGATTGGCTAAGGCCCTGACGTGAGCAACACAGAAGGCGAAGTGCATCGGCAACCCAGCCAGTAAGTTCTGAAAATATCAATAAAACTTTTTGTTATTTTTGAGGAAATAACATCATATCTTTTACCTAAATAATGAAAAGTGAGAAGTGTTTTTAGACAATAATTCTCAATAAATTAAGGAATAATGTCATAGTTTTCACATTCCGATTTATTGACAAATGTTAAGCATTATAAAATCCGTCTTCTTACCTGTTTTTTGACCAACAAATGAGCTATGGCGGAAGTCAGCTTTGGCCTGCTCCGTTGTCCAACCATAGTCTCTAATCCAGCGGTGAATGATCCTCGTCCAGGCATCCCTGATACTGTAGGCACTCAGGTACCAGTCCAAGTGCTGGTCTAACGCTGTGTAAACGCCAAATACTCTCAGCTCATTGCACAAAACAGACAGAAACAGTGGCCTATCACTGAGCTTGCAACTCACAATGCGCTCAATTTGTTCAGAGTTTAATGACTTGCAGTGCACTGCTAAGTGTTCTTGGATGATTTTGCTCTTTGAGACGTTATCACTGATGAGGGGGACCTTGACAATCTGCGTGTCTCCTCTGTGGACAAGTGAGCGATATGTCAGGTCTGACTTGGCTGTGGTGATGATGATTTTACACTGTGGGGGCAGTGGCATTGGCAACCATGCCATTTCTTTCACCTAAAAATTGTTATTATTAAAAAGGTTTTCTCAGTCTCAGAAAAGTTTTTTTAATGATTCTTAGACAAACTATACCAGTTAAATAATTAGATTATACTGCTGCCTTAAAAAATATACCTTACATAAGGATAATCTGCACAATATACATGTGCATTGATTTTTTTTCATTTAAAACTGTTATCTTTTTTAGTCTGAACACCATTTCTACTATCATAGTTATCAGTATGTCAAGAGCCTTTTTCGATTTAAAGCTAAATTTTGGGCATAAAACAATGTATAGACGGTGTGCTCACCATTTGAGGTGTTAATCCTGAAGTTCCGCCCATTTCATCTATCCCATCAAGCACCAACACACATGGCCCCATAGCAGTTGCTGCGATAAATGCTTCACAGATGCGATGAAAATTTCCCAAATCTTCTGTATTTGTTGACTGGACGGTTTCAGACCCTGAAAATAAAATACAAAGTACTTTAAATTTTTTCCCACAAATATACTACAATTTTTTTGGTAAATAGATATTTACAAAAACTTCGCAGAAAAAGGAATTTGCTGTGCTGGATTTGAAGGATAAGAGGATTAAAAACTATTTCCCCCTTCACACACAGGCTGGGACCACCAGACTACCCCTAATTTTTTCTCCATTTATTTCTGAAAAGTAATGACCAGTTTCTCAACAAAGTCGTTTCTCACATGACCTATCACATGGCCTATCACATGACCTGTCACATAGCCTGTCACACAACCTGTCACAAGGTAACGTGTTCAGAAGTTATGATGGCACAGTGACAAACACAACTTGTCTCCTATGAACACATGAAGGACTGGAGGCATAGCATGAAAATGTTCCAAATTAAGCCAATCACAGGAACAAAATACACATCAATGGAGATCTCATCCTTGGCTATTGTGTTTAACAAATGTGTTCAACTAGATAACAAGCCTGAAGTATTCACCTGTTATTCTGATTACCATCTCAATGACAAAATTTACATGCATTCTTCTACAATATAGTAATCGTTGCCATTAGGGACAGCTTGCCGTAAATGAACATGCAAACTGCAACAAAATGTCATCACCACCAAAGCTAACCAGTAGCCAAATGACTTACTACTTACTTATCCACTTTGAGCCAAATTATGCAGGTTATAAAGATGATTCACAAAGCATCTTTTGCCAAACACCCCTCAGGCCACCATGGCCAGATATTGATTGACTACAGATAAAAATATGACTAACTCAAACACCTAAGAAAAACAAAAACAAAAAGCTTTCTTTTTAGTATAAAAAATCCATTAAAATTCATTTGTATGCACTTGTACATGCCATGAGCAACTTTGCTGGAATTGGGCTAAAATCGGTAACAAGGGTGTAGTGCCTTGGGGTACCATTTTTACAGAGACACGAATGGATTATTGTAATTTGGCATCAAATAGACAACAGGCCAACGGTGGTTTAGGGACACGGTGACAATAAGCTGTGAGATGGGAAAAATCCATTCAGACTGTAAAAGATATTTGTGAATCCACTTTTCTTTAAAATTGCATGACTAGATCAATAGCTGTTGCTATTCAGGAAAAACTTGCGTCAATAAGCGACACCTTCTTCTGTTACTCACAGCAATTTATAAACTTGTGCAAAGTAATTCTGCCAACACAAAATGTCAAAAGAATGAGAAATATGAGAAAAGCATATGTTGGAAAGGTAGTTTATATAATTTGTGCAGAAAAGAGTCCACCAGCCAACTAGAAATAATAAGCTCCTCTCCAGACTTACTAAATTTCACTACCACAGAATGTATATATAAGTAATCCAGGGTTAAGACTGTCACAGAAAATTCCAGGAAATACATGTCTGACTGCAGGATCCAAGAAGTTAATTTTCATTTGTGCACGAAGGAATAAAAGAGCACATGTATGATATCAAATCAGCTGCATTTTAGTCCTAAAAATCAGCCCAGTAAGTTTGAGGATAGTAAATCACACTGTAATTCATTGTGTTTACAGTACAAAGTGAGCAGCAGCTTTGTGACAACAACAAACACGGGATCTGTAAATAATCTGTACATAAAAAGATCTGTACCTAATCTGTACATAAAAAGATATCAAAAGTTTCAGAATTCAAACTTTCACATGCAAAATGAAGTAAATTTCATGACAACATATGCATATCAGATGTGCATCTGTATATTGCTTTTTATGCAGAAAAGACCCCACAAAAACAGTTACAGAGTTACAGGGCAATGACCCTTGTCTGGGGCATTAGGTCAGACCTACCCCCCCCCCAAAAAAAAAAAAAAAAAAAAGAAAAAAAAGTGTGAACATGAGCACAGGTCATACACAAACTGAACATCATTCTTCTAAAGATATAGAGCAAATAAATAGCAAACCGAGTTCACAGATAAGAAAGGCCACTTGAGGTAATAGACTTAGTACAGAAAATTAATGGGCCATTTGTAAACCCAAAACTGTCACATTGACTTTGATTTCCTGTTCACCAGCAAAGCTACCAAGTGCAAGTCAGGAGGATAATAGAGCTTTGGGAGGCATGAACTTGCCCTCATAATAAAATTTACATATCTTAAACTTGCTTCCACTGAATAGAATATTAAGGTTGAACAATGAAAACTAGTCACGGGTTGCTTTAAATTATGGTGGTTTCAAACAAAAACGTAGTCCTTGTTTTTGAAGTTAACATTGCACCCTCTTCCATCTAAATCCTGTTTCAGTCCTAGCTTTCCACTGTGCCCTAAATTAACAGTTAATAGGTGTATTGATTGCAAACAAAGTGCAGGTTAAGAGTTGACAGGGTTGTAAAGAAAGGGTTGCTTTGAAAAGACACCACTAAAACTTCTACACACAAACAAACAAAAACAAAACAGCTTTTGTTGTTGACTACTGTTGCTAGTGTTGTGTTCCTTAAACAAACCCTTGTTATAACGGTTCCAAAGGAAAAAAAACATGGTATTACAGCAATAGTGGGGTTATCCGCTGTGTTGAAAATAAATGCTCATGCCCCACATCAAACTATTTTTTTTGCTAGAGGAAATTCTGAATCACGTATCCACAACAATGGTTTGCATGCAATGTGAACATCTTTTCAGCTACAAACCAGCGACCCCAAACTAATAAAACATGTAATGCTGCATATAAATTCAATGACTAATAACAATTTAGTGTCACAAAAACAACAAAACGTGATTTGTTAGAGCTGCTTTTCTTATCATGCTTTTGATCATCATGCAACTTTGCTTTGTCTTGTTCCAGGTTTGTAAGCATGAAGATAATGGTAGACATTATGGTTATCTTAGATACACTAGTATTTACATTTCACAGGTTGCGTTTATCTTTCAGCCAAGCAGTGATCATTTTAATGAGACCTTTTCAATCTTTTCCTTTAAACAAAATCTTGTTAAAAAAAAAAAAAAGAAAACGCACCTGAGCAGTGGTATTCCTCCCTGAGCTCTAAAGTGCACCTGCGCATGAACGACGCAATATCGGTGCTGGATGAGTTGCTGCCGACATAGTGTGCGATGACTTTGATGTCTGGATGATCCTTTGAAAAGCCTTTGACCCAGTTAGAAAGCACCGATGTCTTGCCACAGCCGCGCTCTCCTACCAGTAGGAGTAACGACTGGTAGCTGATAGCCTGGGGCTTCCTGCAACGAAAGATAGCAAGACAATAGAATATTTTTATTAAATAAAGATTTCTCTCAGCTTGAAATAAAATTAAAAAAATACAACAGTGTCTAGGAAAGGGTTAAAATGCTCTAAAAAACAGGGAAGGTACCTGGATATCTTTGTTCTGTATTCTAGGTGAATAGTTACAAAATTTACCAAATCTGCACGTTGCCAAAGAAGTGAAAGAAAATATTTCTTCACATTATTGGAGCAAAATCTAGAGACCCATAAAGAAGCTGAAGATGATGCTTCAACAATACTGTTTAGTTTTTTAAAAATACTTTTTAAGGGAGGGTTACTCAATGTGTCAAAAGATTCAGCACCAACTATAAATACAGCATTAAAGACAAAGAAGATGACTGGTCATTCAATGTCAAAACAACTGCCAACCATAGAGTAATGGATGCTGCGGGGCACAGGGCAGATGCTACGGTCACAACCCAGAGCCATTAATTCCGGACACTGACCATGCCCTGGACATTGACACCTGTGTGTACCTGTAGTGGACAGCCACCTGGACAGTGGGCAGTGAGTCAGTTAAAGCAGTTACTCCCTCTACTGAATCACAACAGCTTATATTAATTAGGGCATAAAGTTCATATATACTTATTTACTGTATTTTTTTGGTTGTTGTTGTTCTTTTTATCATGCCAAATTAAAAACCTACTAATACTCTGATATTAAATTTCTGATGAAGTAAGACAACTACAGGGCTAAGTGTATTAATAAATAAAAATGCCCAAATCCTTGTGAACAGTGGTGTAGCCTGATATTAGTGGAAGACATCATGGCAAATGCTAGTATTCCATGATTTACGTAATGAAATTGTCCTTCTTCATTCCACGCATACTCTAATTCTTATTATAAGTTTTTTTAAAACCTCCAACTATGTTATCTTAAAGATGGATCAATAAAAGAATGAAGAATGATACCCAAACATTTTTGAGACATCAGTAATTTGATTTTTAAGATAAAGATAAAAAGAATGTGCAAAATGCTGTTGGTTTTCCTCAAATCATTCAGCTATACAATCTTAAAGATGAAAAAAAATGTTACGCTATCAATTTTCATGAGCACAACTTCAAAAATTTTAATTGTAAGTCTCCATCAAGATCAGTAAAGAATGAGGAAATGTTTCTGATCAGGGATAAGCAGACAGGAAATTTATGGCCTATTGTTACACCAGACAGAAGATGGGACGATAAGATGCTTTCTCTCTCTCTCTTGATCTTTTTTAACGTCACAATTTCACAGTTCAGAGGATGGTTCTGTGGCAGTGAGGGTCACATGCAAGTGAAAAATTACACAGTTATCAGGAAACAACTTTGCCTTACTATCGTCAGAAACATTCTTAATAATTGTGGAATCTTATTATTACAGTGGCATATTTTCATTACAGTGTGTTTATGAAATATTTGTGGCAACTGGACAGTTTTTTATGAATGTAGACAGTACAAAAAACTTTTTGACCACAAATACCAATGACAGTAATGTGTTGTCTGATAAAAAAGGAATGCATCAAGTTCAAATCTTATATCATTTTCACATACCTTAGAGCTTACTGTAATTCATTTATTGCCTGGTGGTTTAGAACTATTATGCCAAGTAAAATTATGCTCATCAGAAGGAAATAAATGTTTTCGTCATGTTGACAAAAAACAAATAAATTTCAATTCTATTTTTTGTCCAAGATATGTTGTTACTGCTTTTATTTGTATGTACCTTAAAGCTTTACAGGGATAAAACATACTAAAGATAGTTGAGGTAAAAAATTCATTATATATTTTTTCTTAAATTTAAGTTCAAAAGAATATCACAAGTAAGTTGAAAGGACACTGACATCAACAATAAAATCACATTGGACTTCAAAATGACAACAGGACATTGTGTTTTGTTTACCCTACAGAAATATATGTGCATGTACTGAATAGGTTTAAAATAACCTAGTTCCCAAGCACCCACATACACATAGACATAAATATGGATCCTTTGAAGGAACTTGACCACATCCAGGTCAAGAAACCAAGTACCACAAAACATCTCCCACCAAATGATACTTCCGACTTCAACATCTTTTATAACACAGCAACCAAAAAGGGGGCAAAGTTCAAGTAGTATATTTTTTGGTGTGTGTGTGTGTGTGGGAATCACCTGTAAGTGCTATAGTAGTATGATTAGAAGTTAGTGACAGGCAATTAATTAGACTGTCAAAAGAAAACAGTCAAGAATAAGCCTCCTTTTTAAGATGCTTGATCAAAATTCTGACCATTGGATAAACTTTTAGAAATTAAAAAGGCTCCACCACACTTGAACTTTTTGGCGTTTGGTACAATTTACACAGTGACACAACAAACTGGCAATTATATTGAACAAAAATGGAACATTTTGTAAACAAGCACTCCAGTAGTTGCCATAGTTACAAACATGGACAAGGTGGTATTGCTAGACTCCAGTAGTTGCCATAGTTACAAACATGGACAGGGGGGTATTTTAACTAACAGGTGTTTGTATACCTGCCATGGTGACAATCATATTTCTAATAATACCCCAATACCTGACACCAGACTCCTTTGGGTTTGTTATGTTTTTTTATTATTAGAAACAAAATTACCTTTAATAACATGACATTAGTCACAAGAATGAATCATTACAAAAATATCACCAAATTAACAAATGGGAAGCAAATGAAAGTAATCAAAAAGAAAAAAAATCTCTCAGTAATGAAGAAAATGGGCAATGTATCTGTGAAATGATATGTTGAGTCAGGGAAATCAAAATAATGAGAGTCTTAGTATCCAAAACCTATCAAATCTCTTGGTTTTCAGATAAAATACCTGGCAAGACCAGGAAACAGGCTTTTTTTTTGACATACGAAACTTAAACTATTCTGAAACGTGAGCCCATGTTGACTCAATGCCCCCCACTTCTTAATTAAGGAACACAAAATGGCTTTTTTTAATATATTTTCTCACAGCCACCTAAAATTCCCTTTGAAAATATATAATTTTCCCAGACACAAGAGTGTAGAAGGCGTGTGAATTGTCACTCTGCGGTACAGCTGAATCACGAGCACTGGAGCAATTCCACGGGAACACGATGTGTCAACTTGGCCTTGTAATGTTACCTTTTTCATCACTTCTTTAATGAATCACGATGTTCTTTGACATGGGATCTCGCCCTCAAAGAAACTCAGAAAACTGCTTGGTGACTGACTCCCATGGAAGTGCCTATAATTTGCATCTAGATCCAAATCAGCCATTTCTCCTACTTCAAATTTTTACAATTGTTTGAAGTATTTCATAAAATCAAACCATCTTTTCAAGATAACACTAAATATGTATAGCATTATATATATGAATGTGAGCAACTGGTTTTGAGTTACATTTATTTAATATTCCTTTCACTCATTCTATTTTCCTTAAGCCAATGTTAATCATGTCACTTCGTGTCACTTCACATTTGGCAGAAACTGATATCTAATTTTAGAATCATAACCTATTAAAGAAAAAACATGGTGCCATCATTGAACTGGTTTTAACCCTGTCCTTGATTTATTTTGGAAACAAACAAAAACCTTATCTATTTTTGACAACATTTTAGGTGGAAATGTTTTTTCTAGATATGGTGACAGTGGAGAGGGAGGGGGTGGGGGAGGGGGGGGAATCCGAGTGGTAGAAATCTTCTGACAGGTAAAAAAAAATACATTACACAATTACCACATGCACCGAATAACGTCAGACCTATCCGTCCCAGTTAACGATCCTTCATTTCAATCCAGCATTAAATGGTAAAAACATGTGTACCATTTCTCAATGGTTTCCTACCCCGTGACGGCATAAATCTACAAAGAAAATCAATTCACAGGCATGACATCCTGTTTTAGCTGAATTCAAGACAGCCTCATCAAATAGCACGATTCTCTGTGTCTGACGCCCACAGGCCAAGCACAACCCTATATCTTGCCTAAATAATAATAATAATAATATACCTTTACCTATCAGTGCTGAACCTATCACAATTGATGCCTTCTTATCTATGCTTCCTTTTATATTTTATGAGGGAGGTAAAATAGAGAGGCATAAAAAATACTATAGAATCATATCTAGGAACAGAATTAGGGACAGGGATGTAAACTTTAGACAGTTTTGTAACACATAATCATGATGTCATGATGATGCTGAGATATATAAAATGTGTGTGTGTGTGTTTGTGTGCGTGTGCGTGTGTTTGCCGACACTCAAACATGCAAACATGTAGCAAAAAGTCTACTATTCAAAAACATATCTCGTAGACCTGCACATGTGTGTCCTTGTGCCATAACTTGCATGTATATGTTCATGTTTGCATGTAAGCACATGTACTTGTGTGTATGCACGTGTTCTGTATGAACATATGAGCCACTGTGCATGCTATAGTGTTAGACTTCAACAACCAATTTCAAGGACAAAGAATAACCAATCAACCCACCTTTTTCTGAGAGCACTAAAACTCTGCTGCTGATACACGTGATAGCGGTGGTTGTTCTTCTTCTCCAACTGAAAGTTTTCCATGAAGTCCACTTGTTGGTCTTCTGCTGCCTTTTCAGCAAAGTCTGTCAGGTCTGTTTTCACCCCCTCTAAATCCTGAGTCGAAACAAACACGTGTCTGCGACTTTCCGCAAAAGCCTCGTGTGCCATCCATTCTCTGAACTGCAAGGCGCCTAGGATGAATAAATGAGAACTTTTAGTCATTTGAAATAAAATTTCAAATGAAAACTCCTTTTTAGTACCTATGATACATAATACAAATAATAATAATCATAATAATTTACTAAAAGAAGCATTCTTTCTTAGGCTTCAGGGTTATGAAGACACTTGCAATAAGAAAAATTATTATTTTTCTTAAAGAGATTAAGACCTGATACCCAAAAGAAATTCTACTTTCAACATCAATACACTTCAGAAATAACCACAAAATACACAAAAACAATCCCACTGAAATTAGTTTCTTAAAAAAAAAAACTGACTCAGTGTACGTGTTTTGGTAATCTGGTAAATGCTGGGTGACCAATACCTCAGTATTTCAAATAAACATTTTTGGGAATTCATATTAAAGCCCTATCATCTCTGTTGTTCATGTTTGACTGTTTTTTCCCTCAAAAAGCATGCATGCCTTGCAGAAATATTTACATAATATGTTCCCAGAAAAACCTGCATCTAATTCCTTTCCATTGTATTTTTCTTGGAATATTGAACATCTTCTAAGTAAAAAGGAACTGTAGGCTGCAAGGTATTAACATGATAAAAAAAAAAAAATCAACAGGACTTCCAGTGAACTTAAGCCAGGAAATAGTCAAGGAAGAAGCCCGAGTCTGAAGTCCACTATGGTGTACTTTTTGGTATTTAATTTTAAAGAACAACTCCAGAGGCAAGGCTGTGCAGTTGGTCGCTGATTTCACAGTTTCATTTAATGGTTAATCTTTTTTTTTTTCAAATTCAGATGGTTCTGTGTTGGTATTTACAGCCATTGAAACCATCTAATTCTAGACTACTAGTAACTTGCAAGTGTCATAATGAAATGCATCATTTCCTAGAAGCAATAGAAATTATGTTATGGCCAATTAATCCCATTTAAGTATCAGTGCCAGCTAGGTGTTGAAATGAATACAACAAACTGATGGAAATTCTCATTGAAATTATGGCATCACTCGGTCAAGATCTTACTGTAAGTGAAGGCTTATAAATGTACGCTTAATTACCAACCTAACATGTACGAGCTGGTGTTCAAGGTGCAATACATCTACTAGTAAAGGTGTGTTCACATGGGAACTCATCATTACCTGCATCATATTGAAGAGTGACACAGGAAGACATGGGGGGGGGGGGGGTCAACTTTCTAAATTTCAGATAAAATCTGGTACAGAATACAGCAATAGAAGCTTGGTGAAATCTGCCAAAAATTGCATGCAATCTTCAAGAGTACAATCTCCTAAGAGTTCTTGTTTAATCAGGCGCGATGAATTTATCCCACAGACTCGGTCTCAGTGAATCCTTGTCTGTGCGTGTTCCAAGAAATAATGCACAGACTGCTTTGTAAATATATATCTAGATATTGCTGCACACATATTTCAATATGAGATAAGAGAGAATGTTGATAACCTGTCACACTCAGAATCATGCCCTGCTAATTTTAAACTAACAAATATGTCACGAGGCGTCAGGTGGAAGGTGGTAATCTATTAAAAATCAGTCATAACTTAAATACTGGAGTGTGCAACTTGTGCAAATTTTGCAGATACAGGTTCCATCAATGGCTTCCTACTCTGAATTAAGCAGCCAGATACAATTTGATATCTCCTTCAATTACTGAACAATTTCCACCCACTTGTGAATTCCTGCCGACATGCAATAGGATTTTTCCACTCCACTATCTCATTGCCAATTAATTCTAAGTACAAACAACAAGATTTTCATTGAAAATAACCTGTAACAATTGTCTCCAGGGAGCAGCTTCACAAGAAGTCAAGCCAGATGCTTTGAAGCACATGCTGAATAAGCAAATGGTCTGTAAAACTAAACAAAAGGGCTATATGGCAGAACTGCTCTCCAATATCTCACATTTCCATTGTTCCTTTCCATTTTGCACACACGGTGATTTAATAACAAACACATCTACCACTATTTTCAAACAAAATCAAATTTTAACAATGCTGGGCACCACTTGAGCAGACAACCAAGCTGGAGTATGCTCAGCAGAAACAAATTAACCATAAAAACAATGATTTCTCAAATACCCCCACCAAGTTTTATCAATTGTTCTCTCACTGTAGTGGCTTATTATTCTACAATATCTGGCTGCAGAAAGAGATAGACATGTGATGATGAAATTAGGGCTGACAATAAAGAGCCAATATTCTTTCAAACAACCCATCCTGAAAGATGTTAACTCAGAGGGAGAAATGGCAGAGGAAAGAGTACTAGTAGTCGCCTGTGACCCCCCCCCCCCCCCCACCAACCCATCCTTCCTTACACAAAAGCTGGGCAAAAGGCTGACATATATCAAAACCAGATGCCAATTTCTTCACTCAAAGCACTCCAGCAAGTTGAATACAGTATATAAGGCCCCTGGATGCAGTCCCCAAACCACATTTTAAAGTAAGCCATTTAAACAGAAAATAAACCACATTTCCAAAATCTACAAAAGAGCTGCCTGCTTGACAGCCATGGCCAGGTCAAGCAAAGAAATAAATCATGTAGGAAAATTAAGACAGTTCTTTTATAATGGGCAACAAAGGGCCCCACTTTCAGTGACACATTTGTAGCATTCCATAAGGGTTCATGCCAAAAGAGTGCCCCAAAGCTTGCATTTTTCATTTTTAGGTCATCTGAGTATCTTCATGAGAACAGAGGCTGTTATGCATGTGCTGCTAGTAGTAGTACTAGTAGTCGCCTGTGACCCCCCCCCCCCCACCAACCCATATATAATGCACATGGCAAAACACATGGGAATATTCAGTGAGCATTGCATGCTAGCTGGCTGTCTGCTGGCATCTGGTTGCAGGTCATTTCAGGGGTTTTGTTTTAAATCAATTTAATTCTCACTGATAAGCCCACTGCTAAGATACTTGAATTTCCATCAAAATTAGTGACACAGAAGCAAAATGTTTATATGAATATAAGTCAATATGTTAAGGTGTCACTGACACAGTAACCTCTTTCCCGGAAGACAAGAAGTTCATATTTTTTTCAGAAAATCCCGAGGGTCTGAGTTCATGTTGCTTTTTGTCTATTACCTGTAACATATTACAAGCAAGCCTCTTACATATAACTTATTAGCTTGAATGTAGGCTGTATTACAGTCAACTTTGCAATGATGCAAACAGAGTCCATAAACCTTAAAATTCTTCGGTCCTCTGTTAAAAAATAAGTGTACACCAAAATTGTCCAAAGGTAAAACATTTCTATTCCCAGGGTCAAAGGTGACAGGAGCACCATGAAACAATTTGGCCAATGTATTCACACTGGAAGAAGAACTTCCTCAAAATTAGCCTTTTAATGTCTCCTGTCTACGCCCCCTTAATTTGGGACTCCAGAAAGGGGATTCCCCTCACTGCTTCTCCATAGGAAATGGATTAGATAAGCAACTTAATCAGGTATTTCGCCATTCAGGTTTTCCCTAAAAAGGAGTGTGCTCTGACAGGTATTGCAACACGTTGATACCTGTCAATGGCGACAATGTCAACAGCATTGTTTGCTACTTATCACAAGAACCGGATATTTTGTCAGCAGAAGAAATGGGCACCTGTTGGCCCTTACTGTAACATGATGTAACATGGTCTTATTGGTTTTGGACAGCAGGAGGTCCAATGTCAAGATGGAATGCCAAGCACGTTAGACAGGATACAAAGCAATTCCTGACATAGTACTGTATGTGATCATATGATAAGTTCCAAGGCCCACATAAAAATGTGCAATATGATCTACTAATACAAATGTCATGCTGTCTTTTATCCAAAACTTCCACCTTTGTTTGTCATCATGATCTACCTGTTTCATCTTACAGTTGGAAAAAAATTTGCAGAGAAAAATTCCAATTTAGGCTGCATGCTTGGAGTGCTTAAATTCTTAATTCATGAGTCCATTACATAAGAAGACATTCCTATTTTAAAGAAATCGGAAATGACAGTTTAAGATTTATGTTGGCATTCAAAGTCAACAAGCATGATGATAGTGTACACAAGGAGACACGACACCATAAATCACATGGGAGAATAAATCGGTCAACGTGAAAGGCAAGCCTTTCAAAACAAGAAAATAAGTGACATGAGAGAGTAAAACATTAAAAATGTCAGACTGAGTGTTCTTTGACACAAAAAAAAAAGTGGTGCACAAGATAAAACGTGCACATATCATTCCAAAGAAGTTTCTTAAAATGAAGAAAATAACTACAAATTATAATAATTATAATAATATAAAAATAATAAAATATTTAGTTACCTCTCTCATTCAGAGTGTCCTCTAGTGGCGGGTAAAGTTGATCGATAACTTTTAACCAGTCTTGCAGAATCAACTGCCCAAGTTCCTGAGGAGTGCGGTAATATTTCACAGGCAGTCCTTTCTTCACAATCCTCTGTTTTAACTCCCTCACTTTCAGCGTCTCGTACTCCGACTCTGGGTAAAAGACTTTCAGTTTGTTCTTTCTCTTTTCCTCTGGCAAGTCCACATATAAATAATCTACATGCTCTGGCTGGCGGAAATAAAAATAACAGTGTTTGCTATCGTTTAAGAAAACTGATTGCATAATTTCAAGTTCTGTGATGCTGCTCTGTTGGTGCGCCTCTTGTAGCACCCATTTGTGGCCCCCAGCCGCTGCTACCAGTAAGTTTTTATCCAACCAGAATGCATCTTTTGATAAGTCCTCATAATTGTCTGGCACTGGAAGGGCATTTGGAGGTCTATGTCCCCCATATCTCTCCCCAAGGAGTCCAATAAAGAAAGGTGCACTTTTATTGATATATTCTAAACAAAGCTGCAGAACGTGTCCCGAATTGGCTTGTGCATCGTTAATCCCCCAACGTAAATCAACTGGGGTGAAAGAGGTCCCCCTCTCCCTGCATACTGAGTCTATCGTTGGGAAGACCTTTTTGGTTAAATATTCTCTCTCACGTTGAAAGTCTTGAAATGTTGAGCTGATGAATGGGCAGACAGGTTTCCTGAGGTGAAACTGCTGCTTCACGTGAGATAACGAGCGGTGCAGGCGCGGCGTTGGCGGCCCGCTGTCATCACTGTCACTAAAGAATGAATTTGCTCCCATATCTGCATACTATTTCTAAGGGAAAAAAGGAAAAAAATCATGAAAACATGCAACCGAAAAAAAGAAAGAAAATAAAAAACAAACAAACTCCTCACTAAATGCATTCCCTGCTCAGCATGATACTAAACATTTCAAGTGTGCTCACACTACCTTTTCCATCGACATAACTCCTCACAGTAAGATACTCAAAATAAACTGCCTAACATTTAAACACTCACTCAATATATAAACATATATGCAAATGACATACAGTAAAGTGGCACATCGTACGAGATCATTTTCAGATCACCGAGAGACAAGCTATTAATTACCGCCAATTTCCTGTGCTCCAGTTCTCCTATCACTAAAATCTGTAACAGAAGTGGTTAACGTCTCTCCGCAACTTGATGATATATCAGTTTGACCACGCGACTCAAAAATGATGCTGATTCATAAATTTTTATCTCCATTGTTGAAGTCCCCTGACCCCAAAGATACTGGAGAGACCACGTGTTGTTTTTACTAAACAAGGGAACTCCTCCAAACTGTTCAAACTTCAAAAACTAACCATATGAATGATTCACTAAGGTTATCACACTGCAGCATCACAGGTTGATGTGAACATCAGATTTCCCATACTTCAGAATAAAGCTGACTCACAGGCCTAAACTCCATTTACAAACACAAAAGGATATCCCTGCCTGGGACCAGACAGCGCTTTGCTGGCTAAATTTAACCGCAGAGAAAATCCCGAAGATTTTCCTCACTCTAAATCCTCCAATATTGCACAAGCTTCACCACTGGGGCCATCATCCACTTACCTCATGAAAAATCTATAGTAGCATAAACAAGTTGCGGATGTTAGCAACCTCCCGCGGTCATTCTAGCGCTGCTGCTGCACGTAGTAAATAATAGCACAGCGTATCCGTTCTACGGCATTATACCCAGGCAAAAGGGGTCGAGATCACAAAAAGGGGGCGCCTGGCGGGACAATAAATACATGAGTCATGAGGAAGTACCTGCTGACGTCATCCAAGGGGGACAAGATACATTTGGTGACACGCGGCTCCGGTGGATTCACCTGAGTTGCAGAGTGCGACAGCGAAGTTGCTTATCTCATGTTTTAGTCGCGTTGCGCATTCTTGACGTAAACTAAAATTGGAGTGTTCGTGCACCGAGACAGACGGATTAATCCGTTGACTTAACTACTTACCCTGACCACGCAAATATAGTATTACAAAATACAAAACTTGCACTGCTTTGCAACAGTGGTGTTGAGCAATCCCCCAGAGGCCAGAAACTTACAGGCATATTTCTCATTAACAACGTCCGCGCCCAGCCCAAAAAACTTTCCCAAATATTGCACAATCCTATCAGCAGCAACATTATTCTAAAATACATACTTTTCCTTTATCAGGCTCGGGTCTTCTTGTTGCTAGTCGCATATTCCATATTATCTACGTCATCTTAAAATAGTACAAGCTCCTTCTAAGATCAATAAAAGCAACAGGTCCCTCACAACACATCAAATATTTACCGGAAGTTTATTTAACTGATGAACTGTGGGAAAGAAATCCAGGAAGGAGAACAGAGGTCAAGGTCGGGTCAGGGTCACGGGGCCGAAGCGAGGATTTCCAATCCGGCACTAAGTGACCAATCACGACAGGCCACGCTCGGACGTAACTTTTACTTGGTGTTATTTGATTGGGCACATTTATGGACCGAATTTATGCGTGGTGGATTTTGATTGGTTAGTTGCTACACATGCTTTAAGTTGGGAACTTCCTCTCTCGAACACACTCACGTTGGGAAGCTTTCAGGGCGAGCTCTTTAATTGTGAGAAGGGCACAGTATTTCTCTTCAACCTTCAGCCATGGCGAGGAAATATTTGTTCCTCGGAATATTGGGGCTTATTTTATTAGCTGGTAAGTTGTCAGAGTGTCAATCTGCAAGAGTGAAGTCCTCAAGGTCGAAGCCGGTTGCACTGACCGGCGAAAAAGTCAATAACAAAAAATGTCAAAATCCAATGCTCTTTGCTCACCTTTGTAAGCGAAGTGATGTACTTACTGAGTTTATGCACGTAACAGTGCTGATGTAGTGTTGAAGATTGAGCAGGTGGCTGAATCTGAACAGTGTTGAGCTGTTAAGATTGGGGATATAGAATTAATTTTTTTGGGCATGTGAATGGGAGGAGTACTGTATATTACATGTATAAACTTGGAATCTAGATTGGATTCTGATAGTTACGCTTTTTCAAAGTTTAGCAATTGTTTCGTAATTTATTGACATTGCATCCTGCATGAAACCACCCCAAGCACTGGTTACATATTTGCAACAAGGCGATTTATGCAAAAGACTACAGAAAAAAGGTGGCAAACAGAAGAGAGAGAATGTCCTTTGCTTTTCTTCAATCTCGAACATTCTGAGATCTGCAACTTGCAATCCAGTGGTGGATTTAGAAGAGGGGTCCGGGGGGGGGGGGTCCTGACACCCCTTTTGATTTCTGAAAAACAGTCACACCAATAATACCTGCTTGAAATTAGAATTTTGCCCAGCTGAAGCATAGTTATGAACCCTACCAAATGGCACTGTTAGACCGCTAAAATACCAATTTTTTTTGGGGTTCCTTAAGAAGCCCACCAAACCCCACACCAAGTGGAGGGGGAAGGTTGGCTTGGCAACCACCAACCCCACCTTCAGATACTCCTGGATCTGTCCCTGCAATATGTTGTTTGTGATCAACACAACCTTGATGTTTTGAGTGATTCAAACAGTAAGATAATCAGTAACAGTTGGATTAAAGTTCCAACATCTATTAACTTGTCCCCCTCCCCCTTTCACCGTCAAAATGGAATTTTCAAAATGAAATCCCATAGATGTATGTTAAATAGGTTACTTGTGAAGACGGGTACATATTACATGTAGACGTACCCCAAGAATTCTTCACAAATGTTCTACTAACTATTACACAAAACTCAAAGGAATGGTGTAAGAACTAAAATAAGGCAACATATAGTTATGGGCAGGTTCTTAAATTGAAATTGAGCATATTGATCTAGAACTGCCTGTAGCTTATCACTTGGAGGTGTTCTTGCTACAGGTGGTATGTGAGGAATCCTATTACCTGTAGAGGTTTTTTAAGCTGCATGCATGATCATATTGAGTAGTATAACCTCTTTCCCAGGATGTTTGGTGTAGTAACTGCTGTTTGCAGTGAATCAGGAATGAGTTTTTTCTGACTGTCAGCAGTTTTTTGACTTTTTAGGAACCAAATTTGAAAAGTATCATCCCTCCTTCCCCTGAACCCCATGCCATACCAAACCATTTAACAATAATGATTATCATAATTATAATGTGGTAAATAGTGAGCTTTGAGACTTTACTTGGATAGAATTATTTAAAAATTAGGCAAGTAAAAAAGGCTTGAGAGGTGTACTGGTAGATATTGCTTTTTTAGTACTATTAACCTATAAGTACTGTCTTTATTAAACTGAATACATAAGTGTACCATTTTTTGCTGGGATAAAAATATCTTAACTCTCAGCAACTCTGATATACTTCTAGATGTAATTCTTTTGTTCTTCAGGATTCACAGTTGCAGCAGATGGAGATGATGGTGAGGAGGCAGCCACAGTTGATGCTGACATCGGCAAGAGTCGAGATGGCTCAAAGACTGATGATGAGGCAGTACAAAGGTGGGTGCACACACATACAAACACACTCTTACATGCTGGTGCGCACACACACACACACACACACACACACACACACACACACACACACACACACACACACACTGCCAGTAGTAGACTATTACACACACATATGCATGTACGCACGCACGCATGCACACACACACACTGTCTGCTAGTAGTAGACTGTTGCACACCTTGTTTAGCAATGAATAACTCATATTAAGTTTACTGTACGCTATGGCTGACTTACATGCTCAGACATAAGGTTATCCATGTACTTTAGCCGGTAAGATGTGATCCCTTACACCTTCATCATCATTTCAGGAAGGGGGCATTTCAAAATCTCAAAATGAGTTACTGGCTCGTATAATACAGAATATGTTGAGTCAGAAGGATGTCCAAATTTAGGCTTCTTTAGGTAAAATCTGCAGGATAAAAGAAAAGAATAAGTAGTTCTAAAGAATAACTGTCTCTCTAACCTTTATTCAGGTGGCCTGTTGTTGAGCTGGTGACTTCATGATTGCTGCCTCCAGTGGAAATTACAGAAACTTTGTTTCTGTTGGCTTTATGTTGGCTCTAAAGCAAAATAAAAAGCAATGAAATACTGAATGCTTCATATTTGTATTTTTTCTTGTGCATTGTCTAAAGATGAGAATAGCATCAATTTTGTGCTTTTTTGGTCACTCATGCTGTCAGACCTCAGAAAACACTAGTTTGAATAAAGATTTATCAGTCCTAAGACGAGATATTTTAAGGAAGATTGATTTAAAACAACTGCTTATTTTAACTGAAGTCTAATCAGAAGAATAACTTTGTTAAATGAAATTGCCTAGGGCTGGTGGCAAATGCCACATATTTGAAGATGTTTGGTCGATATCATTCAGTAAAAAACATCCTTTAGTATTTGATGAGTAGAGGCAGCTTATCGTCAGCCGTCACCAGTTTGTTTTTATCAAAGAACAATCTACCCACACTCCATTCAAATATCCAATTTTAGCAGATTGCAGCTCCATCCCCTTCCTCACTACCTGAGATGATTGTTTGAAATAATTTTGAAATAGGTAATCAAAACTTTGATATTATTTCACAGAGAAGAAGAGGCTATAAAGTTAGACGGGCTGAGTGTGGCACAGATGAAGGAGATGAGAGAGAAAGCTGAGAAACACACATTCCAAGCTGAGGTGGACAGGATGATGAAACTGATCATCAATTCTCTCTACAAAAACAAAGAGGTAAGCTTTGGAAAGAATTTCATTTAGAAAAAAAAAATTAAAATCAGTAAAAAAATTTCCACTTATGCACAATATGCACTTAGTTATCGTGATGACAGTTTCCACAGTCCCCATTCAGATTGTGTTGAGGCTTTGAGTAAAAGTTACCTTTTTTACTGACAGGCACTGAGATATTGGAGTGCTTGAATCAATAATTCCACTCCAGTATCTCAGTGACTGTCAAGCTCAAGAGGAAAGTTTTTTTTCAAAAACTGGAAATTATTGGTATATAGTACCTTCGATGCTGGCAGGAAAAATGTAGAGGTGATCGCAGATATTGAGGATGATTGCAGAAATTACAAATCCAGTTTAGGGAGAAAACTAAGTCTAAATTGTTTGAATGATTTTGAAATTGGCTTATATTCATTTAGCTGTTTATCTTTATTTTGTTTGCTCACACCTAAAAAAAAAAAAATCAAACTAGTCAATGCCCTTATGAAAATACATTAGTCCCCCCCCCCCCAAAAAAAAAAATGCTTCTGGTTGTATTTCATCTTTATTATTATTATTTAAGCATTATCTTTTCTTATGATTCCTATTATTTTGTAAGCGAACAGATATCTTGAAGTCTGAGCCTCCCCTTTTCATAATTTAGATACATTTGTTGTATTTGATCTCATGCTGACTGACTTGTTGACGTCAGACAGGGGTAGAAATAGCTGTTAATTTAACTGCTAAGACACGTGCAGAAATACTTAGAAACCACTAGATCTTCACCTCAGCCAGACTCTTGTCCAAAAGAGATATCAGGTCCATTATTTCATAGGTAATGCTGCACATAATGGCAGTTTTAGAAAAAGATCCAGGGGAAAATGTTTTTTTTTATGCAGTAGGAGTTTCTACACTTGGCCAAAGAAGTTTGGAAACATGAAATTGTTTTTCAGTAATTAACGATGTTTCTACTTTTTTTTTTGGTCAAGTGTTTATTTTTTAAACCATACTTTAAAATGCAGTAAACTGGATCAAGATCATGGCCTGTAACTTTCAGTTACATTTTTTTTCTCGTTTGAAGCAGCAGATTTTCAAGTGTTAGTTTAGTGTTCATAATATAATGATGCCTGCTCACTCTGAGCACTGTAAGTAATGGTGAAAACCTTGCCAAGGAATCGTACTGGTAAAAGGAATTGGTGTGGGTGTGGGCCCCCATTTATTACTGAGGTTTTTAGTATGTTGCCATATATCAATAATTTCTATCGACAGCCATATATTGGGCTTGTTGAAGTTAATGCTAATATACTTATATGTACAGTGCAATGTGTATTTTCTAGATAATGACTGTGAAGAAATAGAGGGGGTGTTTGGCAGTTGTAAAATGAGTGGGTGGGGGGGGGGGAGGTGAGGAAGACAGAGAGAGAGAGTGATTATAACATTTCAAGTTTTCATATGAATATGCAGGTAACCATGGTATTAAGCACAGTCAGTCTTGATACAGAGCTGCTTATGTTGAGAGACAATTATGTATTTAGCAACTGCCAGTTTTTGCTGTAAGTCAATGCGAGCACCGATTTCCCCTAGAGTTAACCTTTAGTAATATGGCAGTGGATCGAGCAGACAGCCCACTCCTGCTGATCAAACACCTAATATGCTGCAGAGGTGATTCGCACATCACACGGCTATTTCAGTAGTTTCGCCAGATTTTGGAACCTTTAATGCCAATTCAGTTCACTGAGTTAGTTAAAGGGTTAGTGATGCACTGTGGTTATTTTTGTAAGGCGTGGATTTTTTTTTTCTTTTTCATGAAGGTGGGAGTGAGGATAATTTGCAGATTGCACAAGTAGTAGGCAAAAGCTATAAGTAGAAGGTGCCCATTTGAGGGCAATGTTAGTTTATTTGGTGAATGAATATATATAAGACAAAATGTATAGAAGAATAAATATATAAAATTTAGAGCAAATAGAAATTGTTTGAATGTCTTCATATTTTTTATATATATTTGAAGTATGGAGAATGTCGTAAAAATGGACCGAATGAATTTTGTATACATGTGCATATTTACAGCAATCACTGTTTGTTGCTAGTCTCAAGATGTGCATGAGCTAAGATAGCAGAATCTGAAATTTATCCATAACTGTTTCACCGTAATACGTGCCATTAAGAACAGAGCAAAGTATAGTTAATACCTGGTATTGATTTGTTTTTAGAAGCAAATTACTTGGAACCTTTACCACAACCTTTCAAGTTAAACACACAAAAGCTTTTTAGCTACTTACGTAAACTTATATTCATTTACTATAGATAATCATCACGTACTAGTATGTAATCCGAATGTTTTGAAGAAAATTCAAGAATGTGGGTGTGTGTGTGTGTGTATTGTGAATGTTCCCATATCATATGTATGCAAGTATGAAAGGGGAAATCCTTTTCCCAGCACCCTGGGTGTCAGGTTGCCTTGGTAACATGACTTTTCCCCAGTACATTTGTGTCCCAGTTTTGAAAAGGGCATAGGTAAAGCTAAACTGGAGGTATTTCAGTAGAATCAGGGTGATTCCGGCCTTGCTACAAAACATCCTCTATTCAAGTGGTGCTCTCTTGATAAGGTCTTCCCCTCATGCTTCTGAACCTTGGCCTGATTTATGATTAACTGGCAATTTGTTTTATTGGTTCAACATTGGTTACCTGGATAACACCATAGGTGTAAACAAACTGCTACAGGTAGTGGGGAGAAAGTAGGTCAAGGTCACGGTGAAGAAAAAGTTGAAGAAGCAGTAAATTATTATAATAAAGTGTTTTCAAAGGTCTCCCATTTTGGAGAACTTTGTGCACTTTGGTTATGAAAAAATGTAGCTTAGAATTTGCCTCCATATTGCAGTTAGGACCCATTACTGAGCTAAACAATGATTTTCCATGTATTAATTATTTCAGAAGACGAATCTCCGTTTGTTTATTTGTTTGTTTGTTTCTTTTATTGAAAGAAAGGTGTTGCATGTTGGAAAAATGTAAAAAATCAAGGATTCTTATAGTGAGCAGGTGGGGTCTTCTTTCTCAATCACTGTTTAAGAAATTTTTGGAACCTTAAAATGAATGAAATTTCACTTAATCAGGTTATCTTTCTACGTAGTATAATTATATAAATTACTGTAACTGCAGCAGTGACAAAGATGATTTGCTTGCTTCAGTATATACAGACATCACCCATGCTGCCATGTACAGTGAAGCCAGAGGCTTGTATAGTAGCACAAGTAGTATTTGTTTTTATGGTGGAGATGTGTGGCTTTGATAATGTAGCCAGTGATGAGCTGGTAATTGAGGATTAGCCTCTAATAGGTACCACAGGTATGTCTGCATGGAGAGAGAGAGATGGGGGAGGTACAGCTTAAAGTGAGGAATGTGCAGATACAGGGGTCGTTGACTTGCATCTCAGAAGAACTTCTAGCCTGAAAATTGGTCTAAAAGTTTAGACTACAATTTTAGTCGGCACTGACTCTAGATAAAGCAAGTAGTCTATAGTAAGCAAGAAGTCCAACCAAAAAACTACTTAAAGATATCTTGAGTTAAAGGAGGCAATGCTAGTCCAACAAGTGTATTCTTCCTCACTCATGCATACTCATATGTATATACACACATACATGCCCATCAAGACACATGTGGACAGACAGACACACGAGCATACATACACACATTCGCACACACATACACATTGGCACAAGCTAACACCTGCCTACATGCGTCACGATCATATGCAGTATTAATTGTACAATTCCTACGATATTATTAAACACAATCTGTATAATTACGCAGTGCTATCTATTATAGATGCTGAAGATATGACGCACCAGGTGGTGAGAGCTGTTAATAATGTATATAGTAATCATAAGTAAAATCTGTTATACGGTTAACACAGGTAATTGCAGTAGAAACCAATGTACCATTCTGCAGTGGTAATACTGCTTTCCCTCTTTATGTAACTGGTCTAGGAAATGGGATGTGTATTTATGTTTTGCTGATTTAGCTGATAGCCTTGGAGATGTGGTGCTATCAGTTATTACTCGATTACTCGTATTTTCTGTGATCACACAGACAAGAGAGAAAAAAAATGGGGGTGGGGGGGTGGGGGGGTCAGTATTTCACCAGGGACAGGTCTGTAAGAAGTTAAAGATTAATACCTAAACTGGATGTTTAGAAAGTAATGGAATCCAACAGTTTGAAGAATTTAGGTATATAATGCTAAGATCCTGTAAAAAAAAGATAAATATATACCTTTTTAAAAAATAAAGAAAAAAATAATGAATTTAGAAAACAATCCCTCCTTTCTCCACTCTATTGACACACTGAACATGGTGGTGGATTTGATACTCCTGAGAACCCCAAGATAGCGTCTTTATCTCCTTCTTAGTTAATTTAAACATGAGAACATGTTATTGCTGTAATCCAGCTAGCTGTCAGAATTAGACATGATTATTGGTGAGTACATGCCTGTTGGCAGGTGTTACGAGAGCTATCTTCTGACTGGGGAGTCCATGCAGTATTGGTGGGCAAACAGCATGTAATATTATACTCAGTACAGCTTCATATTGAAAATATGTACTGCTGTCTGTTGATTTTTTTCTTTAATTCGTAGAGAATTTTTCATTGAAATTAACAGAATGGCAATTTGAATTTGTTTCATGTTAGAAAAATGGTGTTAGTGGGGCATCTTTAGCAAGGAATTTTAATTTTAAAATGTTTGCCTTTCCTGTTGCACAATCAAATTTGTCACAAATAAAAGTGGATGCCATTTTTCTGATGTTGCCATGTGATTGAGCCTTAACAACTGTAAAGTATATATTACTTGGATACGCTTGCATGAGTGCATGTGTGCACACACACACACACACACACACACATACACACGTACAGCATTAATTACCTATTATAGAAGCTGTCCTTAGTTTATAAATTAGGCTAAAAACTGACTTTTGACAACCATGAAGTCTATATATGACATTCCCACTGAAGACAAATGTGTATTTTCAGAATGTTTTCAGCAGAATAAACCAGACAAGTATAATTTGATTTTGTTTATCTCATTTCTCCTTTCAGATTTTCCTCAGAGAACTGATTTCCAATGCGTCTGATGCCCTGGACAAGATCCGCTTCCTCTCACTTACCGATAAAGATGCCCTGGGTTCAAACGAGGAGCTCACCATCAAAATCAAGGTATTTTTAGGTTTTTAATTTAATATATATGGTTGCTGGTTTAAGAAAGGAAAAAATTAATAAGCTAAGTATATTTGTTGCATGGTATAGTCATAAGGGTAAACATAATTCAAAATATTTAATTATATTTACGGTTTTCATTAATTTAAAGGTACCATGGGTTATATGACAGGCTACCACTCTAACGTGGCCAGCTGATGAAAATTATTAAACATTCTGAAAAAATAAAATTATTTGCTACTCACTGCTGTCTGTTACATAAGGCCTTCACTGAGCATTGTTTATCCTCTCATGTTGAAAGTGTTTTTGATTTCTTCATGTGATGCATAGTTATTGATATATTGTAAGTAAATTGTGATGTCTAAAAATACACTCATTTGTATAAATAGGTCTATTGGTCACGGATGAGACCCAGAACTATAAACTATGATATGAAAATGGTAGTGGGTGGGGTTTGGTAAATTATTGTTTTGCAATACTAGTATATTTTTTTCAAAGAAATTTGTTTGATAGGCTTAGTCATCAGATAAGTATTTTATTTTTGACACAGGTACACCCTTAGTGTAACAATGACTTTGGCTTAAGTAGTTCACACCAAAGATGATGACAGTTCAAGTGAACCATGATGTAATATCTCAAGGAAGTAAACCTGGATAGCAGTACAGTTAAATGAAGTGGTGTGATTGTTTAATAAATAAATGTAATCGTATTTTACTTAGTGGACTGCTATGGATTTTATTGAGTTGATGTCTTAGTTCTAGAAATTAAGGTTAATTTTCTGGATTGTATTTTTTTGGCAACTGTCCCTCAGTGAAGTCATAGGTTTGGTGATGTCATTTATCCCATGTGATATCATCAGGACAGGTGGTAAGAAAAGCTTGTTGTCATATATGGCTTGATGAAGAAAAGAATTACATATTTGATTTTAAATTTTCTTGGAAAACTGTTCAATAAAACTTACTTTTTATCTCCAGGCTGACAAGGACAATCACGTGATCCATGTTACTGATACTGGCATTGGCATGACACGCGAAGAACTTACGAAAAACCTTGGTACCATTGCCAAATCTGGCACCAGTGAATTCTTGAACAAATTGGGAGAATCCACAGGAGAACAAGCCAGCGATCTCATTGGACAGTTTGGTGTTGGTTTTTACTCTTCTTTCTTGGGTGAGTGGTTTTCACATGTTTGGGAACCTTTATATTCTCATAGACTTTTTGAAAGAGCATGTGTGGAATTTAATTTGACTGTCTAGGGAGTTGATAATGAAGGATACTATGGATAGGACAAGGACAGCCATTACATAACTGACTTGCTTTTGTGCTTCGTGGTAGTGAAGTAGTATGAAATTTTGTCTGTAGTTTCTTTATATGACAGTTGTTATTTTCCCCCACTGAAATTTGATGTTCTAAAAATAATGACATTTAAAATAAAATTTTTCCCCTGCAGTTGCTGATCGTGTTGTGGTCACTTCAAAGAGCAACAATGACGAGCAGTACATCTGGGAGTCAGATGCCAATTCTTTCTCCGTCACCAAGGACCCCAGGGGTAACACCCTAGGAAGAGGAACCACCATTAGGTAACCATGGCAACAACAGTAGTGGAAATCGGTTTCATTTTGGTGAAAATTTCACTATTCATTCTAGTTTATATTATAAAATGTTCTAGAAGCATGGATTTCATTGGAGGTTGGGTGGTGGGTGTCTTTCTCAATGACATCTCAGTTTTTTTTTATTTTCACATTTTTTTCTCAGTCAAATAATTTCCTTGTTTCTTCCAGTCTGTTCTTGAAGGAGGAGGCTCATGATTACCTGAATGAAGGCACCATTAAAGACTTGGTCAAGAAATACAGTCAGTTCATCAACTTCCCCATCTACCTGTGGACTAGCAAGGTAATAGCACATACATATGCACTTATGCTTCTGTGTACATATTGATACATGTACAGGTATATGTGTATACAAGTCTACTAGTGACCTTTGATTCAGTTATTTACTGTACATCCAGCACTAGCTGTGAGATTAGGAACTTGACTTGGGAAACTTTTGCTTATTTCCAGTAAGACATTAATTTCAAATATCAGATATCAAAGGTGAATTGGATAATTCTCGTAACATGCTCTCAGACATTACTTGCTGTTTTACATGTTGTTGCTGCCAGTCCGGCATGTAGTACATGCCAGTGACGTTACTGCTGTTGTAGCATATATAGGAATGTAGGAATAAACCTGTCAAATTATGAACCTGTTATTGAAGCTGCCTAGATGCATTCTATGGAGGGAATAATGCTAAGGTCATATATGGTCATAAAGAGGTCCCTGGAGGTCATTTGAGGTCACTGAACACTGGAGACAATGTCAAGTGCTATTTTCAGTGAAATGATAATGTCAGATGGCACATTTAGTTTGTAATTTTTTAGCTATAATTTTAACATTGTGATAATATTTGTTCCAGACGGAGATGGTGGACGAGCCAATTGAGGAGGAGGAAGAGAAGAAGGATGAGGCAGCCGAGGAGAAGAAAGATGAGGATGAAGATGAGGAGGAAGAAGGAAAGGTAGGGGTCACCTGAGGTCAATAAGAGGTCACCTGAGGTCAATTAGATTATTTGAATGAGCATGGCTGGTCCAAGGACAAGGACACGTTTTTGTCTTCAACTTAAGAAAGCCTTCTCTGTCTCTTTGATGAAAAAATCATTGTGCAGAATTGTGCAGACTGGCATACTGTTATCTAAACAAGTGACACATTAAATTTTGATACTAAATATTGATATATGTTTTTCGTTGATTTATTTTTTTATTTTTTTGTATTTTCAGGTTGAGGAAGAGAAGGAGGAAGACAAACCAAAGACCAAAAAAGTGGAAAAAACAACTTGGGACTGGGAGCTCCTTAACAGTAGCAAACCTATTTGGACTAGAAAGTAAGGCTTTGCTGTTGGGCATGGAAAAAGAGCACACAATTGTGCACACATACACTCACATGCACATTTGCTACTTGCACACACACGTAATGAAGCAGGTATTGGTTTCTTATTCACCAGTGATGACATCTTTCCCATATCTTGATGTAACTAATATGGAAGTGTTGATTAGTCTTACTGAGGTGGTTTTTCTATAAATATCTTTATTGAAATAGTTCTGAATAATGTTATTCCACTTATTATTAACAAAAGTTTGTGTCACACTGAACATTTTTACTTAATAATTGGTCGCTCTAGATTCCGGATTATAATGAATAATTCAGCTCAATATGTAAAAAAAAAATGAGAAGATGAGTCATTGGAATCCCATATTTTCAGACCTGCAGACATTGCATCTGATGAGTACGATGACTTCTACAAGGCTATAAGCAGAGAGAGTGATGCCCCTCTGGCTCACACCCACTTCACAGCCGAGGGTGAGGTGACCTTCAAGTCCATCCTGTTCATCCCCAAGACCTCCCCACCCGATACCTTCCAGAGTTACGGGAAGAAGGTCGATAATATCAAGGTACGATTTTTCAGCTGTTGTTGTAGATTTTTTTTTTCCTCTCTTAGCAGTATTTTCAAATTATTTCATATTTTATAGCTGTTGAAGACAATCTTTTTACAGTTCAGTCATTCAAAGATATGTTCACATTCAAAAATTTCTCTCTTAATATTTGAAGAATTTTTAGATGAAGGTTTATTCTAGCATATGCTTGTTTTGGGTTAACACTTTTTTGGTGTATTTTTAATTTTTTTACATTTTGTGAATGAATTTGCTGTAATTTTTATATTGTCTGTTTTACTCCAGATGTATGTTCGACGTGTTTTCATCACAGACAACTTTGAAGACATGATGCCAAAGTATCTGTCCTTCATTCGCGGTGTCGTAGACTCTGACGATCTGCCCCTGAATGTTTCACGTGAAACCCTGCAGCAGCACAAATTGCTCAAGGTTATTAAGAAGAAACTTGTGCGTAAAACACTGGACATGATCAAGAAGATTGGAAAGGAGGATTTTGATAAATTCTGGAAAGAGTTCAGCACAAAGTATGTTGAATTTATTTTTTTTAAATCTGTAGCTATTAAGTGCTTTTTTGATACTGTTTTTCTGATGAAGTAAAGCCTTTTTGAATTCAACCATACAGATAGTGAATGTAATAAAAATAGGAAGCAGGCCTACTTTTTACAATTAGTTTTGAGAATTCTTAATTTGAAAATAATTCCCTTCAAAGAGAATAAAAATAATACAGTGTTAGACTGCAATTTTGTAAAAGAAAAATGTGTATACATTTCTGAAACTTAGTCAACATGATCTGCACTAAATGTGTAATTGTTTGTGACCTCAGCATCAAACTCGGTGTTATTGAGGACCACTCTAACAGAACCCGTCTGGCCAAACTGCTCAAGTTCCAGTCCTCCAACTCTGAAACTGAAATGACAACTCTTGCGGAGTACACAGAGAGAATGAAAGAGAAACAAGAGGCCATTTTCTTTGTGGCTAGCACAAGTAGAGAAGAGGTGAGTGTCTAAACGAAAAATAAATTTCATTGTGGTTTGTTTGTTAGTGCTGAATCATGACCTAAGAGCCCTGGAATGAATTTTGTTGGCTATGTGGACATTTAGGGAGCCATCTTGGGAAAAAAAAAAAAAAAAAAAAACGTTAATAGATTATGGGTGATGTGACATTGGTACTGATAAGAGGAAACTGTCAGCCTTTTTAAAGGTCTCTTAAAAGACCTGTTTAGATATGAGTGGTGATAAATGACTGATTTGTTTATTTGTTCACGATCTAATAGTAAATGGAATAATATAGTAATTTTAGGATAGGTTTAAAGACCTAGCAAATTTCACAAGAATATCATTCAAAATGTTTTTTGCTTTTCAAAAAATTAGTTTTATTGCTATTTTTTAGGCTGAGAAGTCTCCATTTGTGGAACGTCTCCTGAAGAAAGGTTATGAGGTCCTCTTCCTCGTGGAACCCATCGACGAGTACTGCATACAGTCTCTGCCAGAGTTTGATGGCAAAAAGTTCCAGAATGTCGCCAAAGAAGGCTTGAAGCTGGATGAGTCTGAGAAGGCCAAAGAGAGAAAGGAAGCCCTGGAGAAAGAATTTGAACCCCTAACAAAATGGCTGAAAGAGAAGGCTTTGGCTGATAAAGTAAGTAGTTAGGTTTAAGTTTCAGTACCGTATTGTCATCTTTTGTGCTAGTAGTCTAGTATATATAATCCGTATTATGATTTAGCATTTTGTTTTACATATTTCATTTTTAGAACGTGTCCAATTGAGTGTAGTTATTTTTTAGAAGACGGAATCTTCCTAACATTAAATGAGGTCACTGGTTTCATCTGAATAACTTATCTTCCATTGCACCAAAATTTGATTTATTCTTAATCTATTCAATTTCAACATCATTAAGTTTTAACACTTGCTTAAAAATTTTTGTTACAGATTGAAAAAGCTGTGATTTCGGATCGTCTTGACCAGTCACCATGCACCCTGGTGGCCAGTCAGTATGGCTGGTCTGGTAACATGGAGAGAATTATGCAGGCACAGGCTTATGCTAAAGCCAAAGATCCTTCTCAAGAGTAAGTTTTTGCCTGCCCATTTACTTAAAAAATTTCGGTAAAAAAAAAAAAGCCTAGCAGTACCCCAGAAAGGACACAACCACAGTCCAGTAATGAATCATTAAATGGTGTTTTAGTCAGTGTTTTGTTAGAATAAAGCTAGCTTTGAACTAGATTAATTTTAATTTGTACAGTTTTATAGTAGCGGTTTTACTATCATATTTGAAGTGTATAAATTATGGAGATTATTGTAGAGAAATGTCAAAATGGCAGCTAGGTCACATTGAGATGCCTTTTATGGTTATTGATTGTAAATCTCTGAGATGAGTAATGAAATCTGCTCTAGTGGATTATATTCCAGAGAAACTGAGTGAAAATTGGATGTTTTTTTTACCCTTGCTGTGTTTGTCTGACACCATGGTATTGGGTTCAGGGCTTTTGTCACATCTTATGGTAATTGTGTTTTGTAATTTTCAGATTCTATGCATCACAGAAGAGAACACTGGAAATCAATCCCAGGCATCCTCTCATGAAGGAACTCAAGAGTAAAGTGGAGGTAAAGTGCAGGGAAATTACACAGATTTGAGTAAATATTCTGAAAGCAACCCAGTTTTTTTTTTCGCCCATGTCCATTTTGCCAGCTTATGCTAATTTCCACAATCAATTTTCATTTGGGAAATGTTAGTTGGACTTGAAGGAAAATGATAAGATAGCCTTTAGTAATTTTGTCCTGTTAATCTTCTACTGAAAGAAGGGAACTGTTTTCACAAGAGGTTATATAATTAGATGGAGATAGATTTACCTGCATAGTTTTGATGGGGAAGATGAATCTCAGACCTGTATGTTTCTGTTCACAGGCAAATGAGGATGACCAAACTGCTAAAGATTTGGCAGTGGTCATGTTTGAGACTGCCACTCTGCGGTCAGGTTACGCCCTCAAGGACACGGCAGGGTTTGCTGAGAGAGTGGAGCGCATGATGCGCCTCAGTTTAGACATTTCATTGGACGAAAAGGTACGTTTGTAGATAGGGAGGTTGTCAACTTTTTACAAAAGTTACAAGAAATGAGATGAGACACAATTTTTGTTTTGAATTGGATTTTTCCACATTTTTGGGGCCATAACAGCTGTTTCCCCCATAAAATTTGGCACTTGTATTCTTACCAGTACCATTTTAAAAGAGATGCAGTTGCATATTTTCCATGTAATAAGGAGGATTATACAAATTGTGATATAAAAATATTTTGTTAAAGCACAGCATCAAAATGTACTTAGAAGAAATAAGTTTTGTAAAGTGCTACCATCTTTCTTCAGGTTGAAGAGGAACCAGAGGAGGAGGAAGCAGAAGATGCAGGTGGAGATGAAGAGGTCGATGCTGATGGTGAAGAGGAAGACGGTCAGCCAGCAGCCGATGAAGATGCCAAAGATGCAGAAGAAACAGAACAGGTAATAGTCATATTGATGCAGTTTGATTTGGTGTTGGGGGTATTTTGTCATGCTTTGCCTGTACTGTGGCAGTGTATCAGATTGGCCAATCAGTGAATTGATTTCAAAATATTGGACTGAAATTCACCAATCAAAGCTTAGATGACATACTGTCACATGATGGGTCACATGGCACAGCATATGTCTATAACAGCATGTTGTGCTTGTTGATTATTTGTATATTTTTAGCTCTTGAATGTTACCTTTGCTGTTTTTTTAAATGATCAGATGAATAATTTTCTTGCAAAGTAAAAGCTGAGGCAACTGTTTCCCTCTTGCAAAATATATTTACGTAAATTGTTCTTATTTAAATATTAAATGAATAAATTGTGTGTGTTGTTTGTACTGAAGAAGCCGAGAGATCTGTTTGACTGTCTGTCAGACAGATACTTGGCTGCTTCAATACAAATTTATACCATATACCATCTTTTTATATTTGAGCCTTGGTGATAATGTATTTATTATGCGCATTATGGAGTTTGGCATCTGGACTTTTCACCGTTTGTTGGCTTTCCCCTCTAACCATGTTTTTGCTCGACAGTGTGTACTTATTTCATCTATATTATTTATCTACATTAGCCATAGGATATATACCTTCATAATAAGTGTTTTAGATAAAATGTAGAAATATTTCACCTCATTTGGAACATCTCCTCATATTTAGATAGCTTCCACACTTGTGAAATGTTTTGCACTGCAGTTTGAATTTAAATACAGATATAATCATATAAAGGCAATGAGCTTAAATTGAAAGTATGAAAATTTTTTCTCGTGCATAAGCTTGTTTTTTGAATAACAAGATACCGAGCAACAACAATTCCCCCTACACTTGATAGTCCAATTTTTTAGCATGTAAATAAAACCTGAATTACAATTTGATTCGATTGCTTGTTGGTCAACATATTGATCATTTTGCACGTTGAAAAATAAGAAAAAGATAAGATGATGGCACAAATTCTATGCCCCCCCTTTCAAAATAAAGGAGCATATAATTGAAGCCAAAGAAGGGAAAGGCATCACAAAGTCCAGGCCAAACTTTGGAAAAACATCAAACTTACTTAGAACGTTTCCATTCTTTCTTTATTTACAGAAGGAAGAAACCAAGAAAGACGAATTATAACCTCGGCGTGATGGGCTGTCCCATCTTTGATGTATCATATTGACTTTTATCAAAGACCCAAAATAACATATAAATATGTATATGTAACATATGAAAAAAGTATTGAGTGAAGAAATGATGGACAGAGTACAGAATATTACGTATATTTTATGTGTTCCACAGCTGTTTTGTCTTACGGTTCTCTCGCATGCCACGCCTTGTTTTAGATGGATTTCCAGACGCATTTACTGACAGTATAGCTTTTGCACGTTTCTTACGAGTGTGGGACGATGTTAGAGACAGATACTGCAAGCATTCCTAAAGCGTGCAAACTCTGAGCACGTGAAGTGAGCTGCAACGGCCTAAATTGGGCTGTTATGGAATTATAAATGTGTCTTAATAACGAGTGACATATGTCACCATCCTGGCATCTTTTACTTTACTTGAACTGTTAACGAATTAACTGTGTTGTCGTGGACGAATCATGAACTGAAATCTTTTCAAAGATTGAAAAGAAAGAACTGCTGTGCATTTCACTTAGATGTTTGCTTGTTTGACTTTTATGTTGATTTTGTTGAAGGAAGGTTGTACCTTTTCGTTATTTGTTTTTAATTTGTTCATTCATATTTTTTCATTCCCAATATACCTATCCCTCNACATGCACTTATGCTTCTGTGTACATATTAATACATGTACAGGTATATGTGTATACAAGTCTACTAGTGACCTTTGATTCAGTTATTTACTGTACATCCAGCATTAGCTGTGAGATTAGGAACTTGACTTGGGAAACTTTTGCTTATTTCCAGTAAGACATTAATTTCAAATATCAGATATCAAAGGTGAATTGGATAATTCTCGTAACATGCTCTCAGACATTACTTGCTGTTTTACATGTTGTTGCTGCCAGTCCGGCATGTAGTACATGCCAGTGACGTTACTGCTGTTGTAGCATATATAGGAATGTAGGAATAAACCTGTCAAATTATGAACCTGTTATTGAAGCTGCCTAGATGCATTCTATGGAGGGAATAATGCTAAGGTCATATATGGTCATAAAGAGGTCCCTGGAGGTCATTTGAGGTCACTGAACACTGGAGACAATGTCAAGTGCTATTTTCAGTGAACTGAAAATGTCAGATGGCACATTTAGTTTGTAATTTTTTAACTATAATTTTAACATTGTGATAATATTTGTTCCAGACGGAGATGGTGGACGAGCCAATTGAGGAGGAGGAAGAGAAGAAGGATGAGGCAGCCGAGGAGAAGAAAGATGAGGATGAAGATGAGGAGGAAGAAGGAAAGGTAGGGGTCACCTGAGGTCAATAAGAGGTCACCTGAGGTCAATTAGATTATTTGAATGAGCATGGCTGGTCCAAGGACAAGGACACGTTTTTGTCTTCAACTTAAGAAAGCCTTCTCTGTCTCTTTGATGAAAAAATCATTGTTCAGAATTGTGCAGACTGGCAAACTGTTATCTAAACAAGTGACACATTAAATTTTGATACTAAATATTGTTTTATGTTGATTTATTATTTATTTTTTTGTATTTTCAGGTTGAGGAAGAGAAGGAGGAAGACAAGCCAAAGACCAAAAAAGTGGAGAAAACAACTTGGGACTGGGAACTCCTTAACAGTAGCAAACCTATTTGGACTAGAAAGTAAGGCTTTGCTGTTGGGCATGGAAAAAGAGCACACAATTGTGCACACATACACTCACATGCACATTTGCTACTTGCACACACACGTAATGAAGCAGGTATTGTTTTCTTATTCACCAATGATGACATCTTTCCCATATCTTGATGTAACTAATATGGAAGTGTTGATTAGTCTTACTGAGGTGGTTTTTCTATAAATATTTTTATTGAAATAGTTCTGAATGATGTTATTCCACTTATTATTAACAAAAGTTTGTGTCAAACTGAACATTTTCACTTAATAATTGGTCGCTCTAGATTCCGGATTATAATGAATAATTCAGCTCAATATGTAAAAAAAAAAAATGAGAATATGAGTCATTGGAATCCCATATTTTCAGACCTGCAGACATTGCATCTGATGAGTACGATGACTTCTACAAGGCTATAAGCAGAGAGAGTGATGCCCCTCTGGCTCACACCCACTTCACAGCCGAGGGTGAGGTGACCTTCAAGTCCATCCTCTTCATCCCCAAGACCTCCCCACCCGATACCTTCCAGAGTTACGGGAAGAAGGTCGATAATATCAAGGTACGATTTTTCAGCTGTTGTTGTAGATTTTTTTTTCCTCTCTTAGCAGTATTTTCAAATTATTTCATATTTTATAGCTGTTGAAGACAATCTTTTTACAGTTCAGTCATTCAAAGATATGTTCACATTCAAAAACCTCTCTCTTAATATTTGAAGAATTTTTAGATGAAGGTTTATTCTAGCATATGCTTGTTTTGGGTTAACACTTTTTTGGTGCATTTTTAATTTTTTACATTTTGTGAATGAATTTTCTGTAATTTTTATATTGTCTGTTTTACTCCAGATGTATGTTCGACGTGTTTTCATCACAGATAATTTTGAAGACATGATGCCAAAGTATCTGTCCTTCATTCGCGGTGTCGTAGATTCTGACGATCTGCCCCTGAACGTGTCACGTGAAACCCTGCAGCAGCACAAATTGCTCAAGGTTATTAAGAAGAAACTTGTGCGTAAAACACTGGACATGATCAAGAAGATTGGAAAGGAGGATTTTGATAAATTCTGGAAAGAGTTCAGCACAAAGTATGTTGAATTTATTTTTTTTAAATCTGTAGCTATTAAGTGCTTTTTTGATACTGTTTTTCTGATGAAGTAAAGCCTTTTTGAATTCAACCATACAGATAGTGAAGTAATAAAGATAGGAAGCAGGCCAACTTTTTACAATTAGTTTTGAGAATTCTTAATTTGAAAATAATTCCCTCCAAAGAGAATAAAAATAATACAGTGTTAGACTGCAATTTTGTAAAAGAAAAATGTGTATACATTTCTGAAACTTGGTCAACTTGATCTGCACTAAATGTGTAAATGTTTGTGACTTCAGCATCAAACTTGGTGTTATTGAGGACCACTCTAACAGAACTCGTCTGGCCAAACTGCTCAAGTTCCAGTCCTCCAACTCTGAAACTGAAATGACAACTCTTGCTGAGTACACAGAGAGAATGAAAGAGAAACAAGAGGCCATTTTCTTTGTGGCCAGCACAAGTAGAGAAGAGGTGAGTGTCTAAACGAAAAATAAATTTCATTGTGGTTTGTTTGTTAGTGCTGAATCATGACCTAAGAGCCCTGGAATGAATTTTGTTGGCTATGTGGACCTTTAGGGAGCCATCTTGAAAAAAAAAAAAAAAAAAAGAAAAAAACCTTAATAGATTATGGGTGATGTGACATTGGTACTGATAAGAGGAAACTGTCAGCCTTTTTAAAGGTCTCTTAAAAGACCTGTTTAGATGAGTGGTGATAAATGACTGATTTGTTTATTTGTTCATTATCTAATAGTAAATGGAATAATATAGTAATTTTAGGACAGGTTTAAAGACCTAGCAAATTTCACAAGAATATCATTCAAAATGTTTTTTGTCATTCAAAAAATTAGTTTTATTGCTATTTTTTAGGCTGAGAAGTCTCCATTTGTGGAACGTCTCCTGAAGAAAGGTTATGAGGTCCTCTTCCTCGTGGAACCCATCGACGAGTACTGCATACAGTCTCTGCCAGAGTTTGACGGCAAAAAGTTCCAGAATGTCGCCAAAGAAGGCTTGAAGCTGGATGAGTCTGAGAAGGCCAAAGAGAGAAAGGAAGCCCTGGAGAAAGAATTTGAACCCCTAACAAAATGGCTGAAAGAGAAGGCTTTGGCTGATAAAGTAAGTAGTTAGGTTTAAGTTTCAGTACCATATTGTCATCTTTTGTGCTTGTAGTCTAGTATATATAATCCTAATTATGATTTAGCAATTTGTTNATCTTGAAAAAAAAAAAAAAAAAAATGAAAAAACCTTAATAGATTATGGGTGATGTGACATTGGTACTGATAAGAGGAAACTGTCAGCCTTTTTAAAGGTCTCTTAAAAGACCTGTTTAGATGAGTGGTGATAAATGACTGATTTGTTTATTTGTTCATTATCTAATAGTAAATGGAATAATATAGTAATTTTAGGACAGGTTTAAAGACCTAGCAAATTTCACAAGAATATCATTCAAAATGTTTTTTGTCATTCAAAAAATTAGTTTTATTGCTATTTTTTAGGCTGAGAAGTCTCCATTTGTGGAACGTCTCCTGAAGAAAGGTTATGAGGTCCTCTTCCTCGTGGAACCCATCGACGAGTACTGCATACAGTCTCTGCCAGAGTTTGACGGCAAAAAGTTCCAGAATGTCGCCAAAGAAGGCTTGAAGCTGGATGAGTCTGAGAAGGCCAAAGAGAGAAAGGAAGCCCTGGAGAAAGAATTTGAACCCCTAACAAAATGGCTGAAAGAGAAGGCTTTGGCTGATAAAGTAAGTAGTTAGGTTTAAGTTTCAGTACCATATTGTCATCTTTTGTGCTTGTAGTCTAGTATATATAATCCTAATTATGATTTAGCAATTTGTTTTATATATTTCCTTTTAATCATTTTTAGAACGTGTCCAGTTGAGTGGTGTAGTTTTTTTTTGAAGACAGAATCTTCCTAACATTAAATGGGGTCACTGGTTTCATCCGAATAACTTAACTTCCATTGCACCAAAATTTGATTTATTCTTAATCTAGTCAATTTCAACATCATTAAGTTTTAACACTTGCTTAAAAATTTTTGTTACAGATTGAAAAAGCTGTGATTTCGGATCGTCTTGACCAGTCACCATGCACCCTGGTGGCCAGTCAGTATGGCTGGTCTGGTAACATGGAGAGAATTATGCAGGCACAGGCTTACGCTAAAGCCAAAGATCCTTCTCAAGAGTAAGTTTTTGCCTGCCCATTTACTTAAAAAATTTCGGTAAAAAAAAAAAGCCTAGCAGTACCCCAGAAAGGACACAACCACAGTCCAGTAATGAATCATTAAATGGTGTTTTAGTCAGTGTTTTGTTAGAATAAAGCTAGCTTTGAACTAGATTAATTTTAATTTGTACAGTTTTATAGTAGCGGTTTTACTATCATATTTGAAGTGTATAAATTATGGAGATTATTGTAGAGAAATGTCAAAATGGCAGCTAGGTCACATTGAGATGCCTTTTATGGTTATTGATTGTAAATCTCTGAGATGAGTAATGAAATCTGCTCTAGTGGATTATATTCCAGAGAAACTGAGTGAAAATTGGATGTTTTTTTTACCCTTGCTGTGTTTGTCTGACACCATGGTATTGGGTTCAGGGCTTTTGTCACATCTTATGGTAATTGTGTTTTGATATTTTCAGATTCTATGCATCACAGAAGAGAACACTGGAAATCAATCCCAGGCATCCTCTCATGAAGGAACTCAAGAGTAAAGTGGAGGTAAAGTGCAGGGAAATTACACAGATTTGAGTAAATATTCTGAAAGCAACCCAGTTTTTTTTTTCGCCCATGTCCATTTTGCCAGCTTATGCTAATTTCCACAAACAATTTTTATTTGGGAAATGTTAGTTGGACTTGAAGGAAAATGATAAGATAGCCTTTAGTAATTTTGTCCTGTTAATCTTCTACTGAAAGAAGGGAACTGTTTTCACAAGAGGTTATATAATTAGATGGAGATAGATTTACCTGCATAGTTTTGATGGGGAAGATGAATCTCAGACCTGTATGTTTCTGTTCACAGGCAAATGAGGATGACCAAACTGCTAAAGATTTGGCAGTGGTCATGTTTGAGACTGCCACTCTGCGGTCGGGTTACGCCCTCAAGGACACGGCAGGGTTTGCTGAGAGAGTGGAGCGCATGATGCGCCTCAGTTTAGACATTTCATTGGACGAAAAGGTACGTTTATAGATAGGGAGGTTGTCAACTTTTTACAAAAATTACAAGAAATGAGATGAAACACAATTTCTGTTTTCAGTTGGATTTTTTCCACATTTTTTGGGGCATAACAGCTGTTTCCCCCCATAAAATTTGTCACTTGTATTCTTACCAATACCATTTTTAAAGAGACGCGTTTGCATATTTTCCATGTAAAAAGGAAAATTATACATATTGTGATGGAGAAGTATTTTGTTATAGCACAGCATCAAAATGTAATTTTAAGAAATAGTTTTGAGAAGTTTTAAGAAAAAGTGCTGCCATCTTTCTTCAGGTTGAAGAGGAACCAGAGGAGGAGGAAGCAGAAGATGCAGGTGGAGATGAAGAGGTTGATGCTGATGGTGAAGAGGAAGACAGTCAGCCAGCAGCCGACGAAGATGCCAAAGATGCAGAAGAAACAGAACAGGTAATGGTCATATTGATGCAGTTTGATTTGGTATTGGGGGTATTTTGTCATGCTTTGCCTGTACTGTGGCAGTGTATCAGATTGGCCAATTGGTGAATTGATTTCAAAATATTGGACTGAAATTCACCAATCAAATCTTAGATGACATACTGTCACATGATGGGTCACATGGCACAGCATATGTCTATAACAGCATGTTGTGCTTGTTGATTATTTGTATATTTTTAGCTCTTGAATGTTACCTTTGCTGTTTTTTAAATGATCAGATGAATAATTTTCTTGCAAAGTAAAAGCTGAAACAACTGTTTCCTTCTTGCAAAATATATTTGCATAATTTTTTTCTTATTTAATGATTAAATGAAGAAATTGTGTGTGTTGATTGTACTGAAGAAGCCGAGAGATCTGTTTGACTGTCTGTCAGACAGATACTTGGCTGCTTCAATACAAATTTATACCATATACCATCTTTTTATATTTGAGCCTTGGTGATAATGTATTTATTATGCGCATTATGGAGTTTGGCATCTGGACTTTTCACTGTTTGTTGGCTTTCCCCTCTAACCATGTTTTTGCTCGACAGTGTGTACTTATTTCAACCATATTATTTATATACATTAGCCATAGGATATACCTTATATAATAAGTGTTTTAGATAAAATGTAGAAATATTTCACCTCATTTGGAACATCTCATATTTAGATAGCTTCCACACTTGTGAAATGTTTTGCACTGCAGTTTGAATTTAAATACAGATATAATCATATAAAAGAAATGAGCTTAAATTGAAAGTATGAAAATTTTTTCTCATGCATAAGCTTGTTTTCTGAATAACAAGATGCAGAACAACAACAATTTGCCCTACACTTGATAGGCAAATTTTTTAGCATGTAAATAAAACCTGAATTACAATTTGATTCGATTGCTCGTTAGTCAACATATTGATCATTTTGCGCGTTTAAAAAAATAAGAAAAAGATAAGATGAAGGCACAAATTCTATGCCCCCCCCCCCTTCCATAAAGGAGCATATAAATGAAGCCAAAGAAGGGAAAGGCATCACAAAGTCCAGGCCAAACTTTGGAAAGACATCAAACTTACTTAGAACGTTTCCATTCTTTCTTTATTTACAGAAGGAAGAAACCAAGAAAGACGAATTATAACCTCGGCGTGATGGGCTGTCCCATCTTTGATGTATCATATTGACTTTTATCAAAGACCCCAAAAAACATATAAATATGTATATGTAACATATGAAAAAAAAGTATTGAGTGAAGAAATGATGGACAGAGTACAGAATATTACGTATATTTTATGTGTTCCACAGCTGTTTTGTCTTACGGTTCTCTCGCATGCCACGCCTTGTTTTAGATGAATTTCCAGACGCATTTACTGACAGTATAGCTTTTGCACGTTTCTTACGAGTGTGGGGCGATGTTAGAGACAGATACTGCGACCATTCCTAAAGCGAACAAACTCTGAGCACGTGAAGTGAGCTGCAACGGCCTAAATTGGGCTGTTATGGAATTATAAATGTGTCTTAATAACGAGTGACATATGTCACCATCCTGACATCTTTTACTTTACTTGAACTGTTAACGAATTAACTGTGTTGTCGTGGACGAATCATGAACTGAAATCTTTCCAAAGATTGAAAAGAAAGAACTGCTGTGCATTTCACTTAGATGTTTGCTTGTTTGACTTTTATGTTGATTTTGTTGAAAGAAGGTTGTACCTTTTCGTTATTTGTTTTTAATTTGTTCATTCATATTTTTTCATTCCCAATATACCTATCCCTTAGATACCAGCGCTATCTCAGAAGTTAAATGTCGTGTACGGGACTATTCAATGGTGCGCACAAAATGAGAATTTGTCTATCACCAGTTTGATTGCTCTCCTTTGCCAAGAGAACATTCTTTTATACACCTGTAGCAATATACAGAACGCTGGTAATAACCTAGAGCAAAGATGTTGGTATTTATTACCAATTTTTTCTTTAATTTCAAAGAGGGGCCATGATAGTCTTGATATAAACGGCAAATTAACATCTACTTAAATGTGTTGTTTCTTGCCGGTTGTTTTGTGGGAGACCCAGAAAAGTAATCTTTAAATACCAGCCAAGAAAAAAGCGGTTATTGAGTGTCTATGTAGGCACTGGATTTATTATTTGTAAGAAAAATAAAAAAAGGAAAAAAACTTGGTGCTTTGTGTGATTTCTTACAGCAAATTGTCGTTTCCTGACACATTTTGTTGCTTTTGGATCAAGGTAGCAGTGCCGCGCTGGAAACTGCAGCTTTTATTAGCATTCACCTTTAGATATCAGAATGCTGAATGACCGGGGAAAGCTTTACGTTCCTGAATTTCGAGCACGAACGTTTGAATTGTCTGAAGTGGTAAATTGTAAATGAAAGGTAAACGTCTTACTTGAAATCGAGCAGCCTTTTCCGCATCTTTTGAAACTGCAACGAAGGTTTACTATAAATGATTGTCTAGATGGAATAGGACTCAAATACTACTTCATTGAAACGCTGTTATTTAAATCGTTGTATAGAATGGCCGACCTTTTTTAGGCAGGCTGCGCGTTTCAAAGTTGGTTCATTTTAATAATTCGTTTATTTATTAATCTTATTATTGAGTAATGACATTGCTGCTCCCGATGAAAAGGTTAATTTTTTATGCGAAACAGGAAATCATACAGCGGCAGTAGGAAAGTGTACAGATTCATCGACAGCATTTGTAAAATATGAATTATTTTAATGCCAAATTTACCCAAAGCGCCCCATAAAATTATAATTCATTTCAGGAACTAAACTTTAATAACAACAGCCTTTGTATATTACACAATAGTAAAGTAAGTGGCAATAAATTTTAATTTAAAAAGACATAGATATGTCAAATATGACCTCCCATTTTATTTTAAAAAAGCATGGCGTATTTTCCTAGATTACCTGATCACTCCCTTATAAATATTATGAATGCAAATTATATTTGATGCATGTGCATTTCAGAGGTAATTATGTAGCATTTCTGCATTCCTGTGTTTATTAGATGTAGCATATGAGCGATGTTTATTTTGATAACATTAAACGCACTTTAAACAGAAGAAATATAAAAAATATTTCAGTGAAACTTGTCAGTGAACATTTAAAATGCGTTTTGCAAATATGTCGAAATGCTGTGTAAATTACAACATTTATTTCCAAAAAAAAAAAAAAAAAAAAAAAAAAAAAATGTCGATTATCGGCATATTTGCTGCGACAGATAATGACAATTTCTCTTAAATATCAGTAAGACTACGGGCGCGTTACCAATGAAACCATCGTTCTTCATAGATTGGTCCAACTCCGCGGGGACTCTCGCTAAATGCAATCAGATTAACCAAATAACACGCCTCCTCGAGCTGCTAGGGGGTGATTAACTCTTGTGTGTTCGGCTTCTGTAAATCACTTCGTTTTGAGTGCGACCGAACGCGCACGAAAAGTTAAACATACCCAAGCTGCTCGAAGAGGCGTGTCATATAGTTAATCTGGCGGTATTCAGCAAGAGTTCCCGTGGAGTTGGGTTGATTTACATTGAACGATTTTTTTCATTTGGAACTCGCTCAACAATATCGATTTGCCTCTTAAGCATAACTGCAACAACCACCTTGTTTACCATATGCTCGATAAGAATATATTTCTGTAATTTTTGTAGGTCATCCTCCATTGTTAATTTATCAGTAAAACCGATTTGCCGATATTAAATACCAAAAATACTAATAACTATATAATGAAATATATAACATACCCTCTTTTCCCTTCTCTACGGTCTTAAACTGCGTTCCCTTTATCTTGATATTTAGAGGTGCACGGCGTGCGGGCGTAAGCTACTGTGGGTAGACGCCGAGCAAAATGTTCCGCCACAAAAGCAACAGAAGACCCCACCCAAAGTCCAACCCAAAGTCCAACCAAAAGTCCAACCAAAGGTTCAACCCAAGATTCAACCAAAGGTTCATCCAAAAGCTCAACCGAAGGTCCAACCAAAGACACAACCAAAAGTTCAACCAAATATCCCCCAGCAACCTATACTGAAAACTAAACCAATCAAAAAGCCAGCAATAGACAAATCGAAAGACACGGACGGAGACGGGATTCCAGATTACTTGGATGATGATATTGATGGTGATGGCATTCCCAACGATCAGGACGACGATGATGATGGCGACGGGATTCCAGACGTTAAAGAGAGAGATTCCGATGGAGATGGGATTCCAGACTATCTTGACACTGACGATAAAGTGAGAGACACAGATGGAGATGGAATCCCAGATTATTTAGACGATGACATTGATGGCGACGGAATACCAAATGACCAAGACGACGATGCCGATGGTGACGGCATACTTGATGAGCTGGAAAAAGACACGGATGGAGACGGAATTCCAGACTATTTGGACGATGACATCGATGGAGATGGGATTCCAAACGATCAAGATGATGATGATGATGGTGACGGGATTCCTGACTACCAAGAGGCAGTCCGCGTCAAACCTACCGTAAAAGTGCAACCAAAATTGCGGAAAACTGCCTCGACAGTCAACAAGGGAAAAGATTCTGATGGCGATGGAATTCCAGATTGGATGGAGAAAGATTCTGACGGAGATGGAATTCCCGATTATTTAGACAAAGACGATAAAGTAAGAGACACAGACGGAGACGGAATTCCAGATTATCTTGACGATGATATCGATGGCGATGGTATTCCGAATGATCAAGATGACGATGACGACGGTGATGGGATTCCAGATGAATTTGAAAAAGACACTGATGGTGATGGAATTCCAGACTATCTAGATGATGATATTGATGGAGATGGCATACCCAACGATTTAGATGACGATGATGACGGTGATGGTATTCCTGATAGCGAAGAAAAAGTGAGGTTCGACAGAAAGAAAGACACAGATGGAGATGGCATTCCAGATTATCTTGATGATGACATTGATGGTGATGGAATTCCAAACGACTTGGATGACGATGACGATGGAGACGGGATTCCGGATGAATTTGAAAAGGACACGGATGGAGACGGAATTCCAGACTATCTTGATGACGACATTGACGGAGATGGCATACCCAACGATTTGGACGACGACGACGATGGTGATGGAATTCCTGATAGCCAAGAAAAAGTGAGGTTCGACAGAAAGAAAGACACGGACGGAGACGGCATTCCAGACTATTTGGACGACGATATTGATGGAGACGGAATTCCTAACGACCAGGACGATGATAAAGACGGAGATGGCATTCCGGATTGGATGGAGAAAGATTCTGACGGAGACGGTATTCCCGATTACTTAGACAAAGACGACAAAGTGCGAGACACAGACGGGGATGGTATTCCAGATTATCTTGATGACGACATTGATGGCGATGGAATACCCAATGACATAGACGATGATGACGATGGTGACGGCATTCCCGATGAACTTGAGAAAGACACTGATGGAGACGGAATTCCAGATTATATGGACGACGACATTGATGGAGACGGAATTCCTAATGACCAAGATGATGATGACGACGGGGACGGAATTCCAGACAGCCAGGAGAAAGTAAAATTTGTAAAGCCAAAACATAACATGAAGGTTAAACCGGGACTGAAGGTAAAGCCTGGAAAAACAAGGAGGCAAACGGTAGATAAAACAAAAGATGCTGATGGAGACGGAATACCCGACTGGATGGAAAAAGACACCGACGGAGATGGTATTCCAGATTATCTAGATGACGATGATAAAAACAGAGACACAGATGGAGACGGAATTCCAGATTATCTAGATGACGACATAGACGGAGATGGGATACCCAACGACCAAGATGACGATGATGACGGAGACGGGATTCCGGATTGGATGGAAAAAGATTCCGACGGAGATGGCATTCCCGATTATTTAGACAAAGACGATAAAGTACGAGACACCGACGGAGACGGAATTCCAGACTATCTTGATGATGATATTGATGGCGATGGTATTCCCAACGACCAAGATGATGATGACGACGGTGACGGAATTCCCGATTGGATGGAAAAGGATACGGACGGAGACGGGATTCCAGATTATTTAGATGACGATATCGATGGAGATGGGATACCTAACGATAAAGATGATGACGACGATGGAGATGGTATTCCCGACAACAAAGAGAAAGTAAAATTTGACAATAGCAAATTCATGAAGTTAAAGTTGAAAATGAAACAGAAACAAGCACAAAAAACAAAACCAGGGAAGTTAAAAAGACAAACGGTAGATAAAACAAAAGATGCTGATGGAGACGGAATTCCTGACTGGATGGAAAAAGACACCGACGGAGATGGTATTCCAGATTATCTAGATGACGATGATAAAAACAGAGACACAGATGGAGAGGAATTCCAGATTATCTAGATGACGACATAGACGGAGATGGGATACCCAACGACCAAGATGACGATGATGACGGAGACGGGATTCCGGATTGGATGGAAAAAGATTCCGACGGAGATGGAATACCGGATTACTTAGACAAAGATGATAAAGTACGAGACACCGACGGAGACGGAATTCCCGACTATTTAGACGATGATATCGATGGCGATGGTATTCCCAACGTCCAAGATGATGATGATGATGGAGACGGAATTCCCGATTGGATGGAAAAGGATACGGATGGAGACGGGATTCCAGATTATTTAGATGACGATATCGATGGAGATGGGATACCTAACGATCAAGACGACGATGACGATGGTGACGGTATTCCCGACAGCCAAGAAAAAGTGAAATTTGACAAAAGCAAAATATTGAAACAGGGAGTGAAGACAAATCCAAAACCTGTCCGTAAAACTAAACAAGCACCAAGTAAACTAAAGAGGCAAATGGTAGACACGAAAAAGGATGCTGATGGAGACGGAATTCCGGACTGGATGGAAAAAGACACCGACGGAGATGGTATTCCAGATTATCTAGATGACGACGATAAAAACAGAGACACAGATGGAGACGGAATTCCAGATTATCTAGATGACGACATAGACGGAGATGGGATACCAAACGACCAAGATGACGATGATGACGGAGACGGGATTCCAGACAAACAAGAAAAAGAGTACAAAGTAAAACGTACACAAAACCTTAAAGTAAAAACCCCACCACCTTCTGGAATAGATAAAACAAAAGACACTGATGGCGATGGAATCCCGGATTATTTAGATCAAGATGATGACGGAGACGGTATTCCAGATTTAATGGAGAAGGACTCCGATGGTGACGGTATTCCGGATTATCTAGACACTGACGACAGGGTAAGAGATACTGATGGAGACGGTATTCCGGATTACTTGGATGATGACGATGACAACGACGGCATCCCGGATGACAAGGATGACGATGCCAATGGTAACGGGATTCCAGATGAGCTAGAGAAAGACACGGACGGAGATGGGATTCCAGATTACCTAGATGACGATATTGACGGCGACGGAATTCCGAACGATCAAGATGATGATGATGATGGCGACGGCATACCAGACAGTCAGGAGAAAATAAAATTTGACCGTTTTAAAGACACAGACGGAGATGGTATTCCAGATTACTTGGATGATGACATTGATGGCGACGGCATCCCCAACGATCAGGACGACGACGATGACGGAGATGGCATTCCCGACGAACTAGAGAAAGACACAGACGGAGACGGGATTCCAGATTACTTGGATGATGACATTGATGGCGACGGCATCCCCAACGATCAGGACGACGACGATGACGGAGATGGCATACCAGACCGTCTGGAGAAAAAGCAAAAACAAGTCAAACCTATCACAGGAAAGAAACCACCAATCTCCAAAACAAAATTAAAGCCAAAGGTTTCGGTAAAAGATCAGATAGACAAGACTGTTGACACAGATGGCGACGGTATCCCAGATTACTTGGATGATGACGATGACAATGACGGGATCCCAGACCATCTTGATGACGATGATAATGGTAACGGAATCCCAGATCACTTGGAGAAAGACACGGATCATGACGGCATACCGGATTATCTAGACAGCGACGCCAATGGCAACGGTATCCCGGATTACATGGAGAAAGACTCAGATGGAGACGGCATACCGGATTACCTGGACACTGATGACAAGGTACGCGACACAGATGGAGATGGGATTCCAGATTACCTCGACCCTGACGACGACAATGACGGGATTCCAGACGAGGATGACCCTGATGCCAACGGGAATGGCATCTTGGACATTTACGAGGTGGACACAGACGGAGACGGAATTCCAGATTTCTGGGACGACGATGACGATAACGACGGTATTCCTGACATTAAAGATGATGATGCCAACGGAAATGGAATACCTGATAAGCTGGAGAAGGACAGCGACGGCGACGGGATCCCTGACTACCTGGATGACGATGATGATAATGATGGCATACCGGATGATCAGGACCCGGACGCTAATGGCGACGGAATATTGGACATCTATCAGATAGACACAGACGGTGATGGAATTCCAGGTAAGATAAAGTTTATTATGAACTCTCACACTATTGGAATTTACAACGTAAATGGCTAGGGAACATGTATTTATCATAGTCAATAATATAAGTAATAGTAATAGTAGTATGTTTCCAATACGTTTCCATCTGAATTGTGCACCGTAAAAGAGTATATGAAATATTCATTGTAATTTCTTAAAATCCTGTAGAATATTAAACTTTTCGATAAAAAGTTGTTCAAAATGCGTAATTTAATTTGTCTTATCATCGTATTGAATTTAAGATATTCTGGACCTTGACGATGACAATGATGGCATCCCAGACTTCCAAGATGAAGACGATAACGGTGACGGAATTCCAGACGCCATGCAGAGAGACACAGACGGTGACGGAATTCCGGATTACTTGGATGAGGACGATGACAATGACGGTATACCAGACAGCGTAGATACAGACGATGATGGCGATGGTATTCCGGATTCAATGGAAGGTCGGCTGAGGGAAAAAATTGACAAGACTCTGGATTCTGATGGAGATGGGATCCCTGACTACTTAGACGATGATGACGATAATGACGGTATTCCGGATGACCAGGATGAAGATGCCAACGGTAACGGAATTCCAGATATTTTGGAAAAAGACACGGACGGGGACGGGATTCCAGACTATCTGGATGACGACATTGATGGAGATGGGATCCCTAATGATGATGACGACGATGCTGATGGAGATGGCGTGCCAGATGCAAAAACTGGAATCAAAATTGACAGACACAAAGACACGGATGGGGACGGTATCCCGGATTATCTAGATGACGACGATGACAACGATGGAATTCCTGATTATCTCGATCTAGACGCTAACGGTAACGGTATCCCCGACAGATTAGAGAGGGATAGCGATGGAGACGGAATACCGGACTACCTTGATCCTGACGACGATAACGATGGCATACCGGATGATAAGGATCCTGATGCAAATGGCAATGGGATACTAGATATCTACGAAATGGACACCGATGGCGATGGAATCCCTGACTATCTGGACCCAGACGATGACAATGACGGAATTCCGGACGAAGAGGACGATGATGCAAATGGTAATGGTATCCTGGACATATACGAAAGGGATCTTAATGGTGATGGAATTCCAGATATCCTCCAAAAAGACAGTGACGGGGATGGGATCCCAGACGCGTTGGATGATGACGCTGATGGAGACGGTATTCCAGACAAGTTGGAAAAGGCAGGCAAAGGTGGAAAGCCAGACAAGCTAAAGGACACGGATGGCGATGGCATTCCAGACTATCTTGATGATGACGACGATGGCGACGGAATTCCAGACAGTGAAGACGATGATGACGATGGCGACGGAATTCCGGACAAGGACGAAGCTCAGCAACAATGTGACAAAGATAGCTGCAGCACGATAACCAACAGAAAAGAAAAGTACAGAAGGAAAGATGGCGCCAAAGAAGAAGACGTACCGCAATCTCTAGTTGGAAGACTTGTAAATAGTGTCCAAAAGGTGTTCGGTGGCGGTGATACTGAGGACGATGATAAAACCAATGAAAAATCAGAATCGGCAAAGTCGTCTGCTAAAAAGGACAAAGACAGTAACGATGACGACAGTGCAGAAGAAATCGACTTAGGCGAACTTATTTCTGCTGCAATTTTTGGCAAAGCAGATAGTAAGAAAGACGAAAAACAAAGATCGTAACGTTTAATTACATAAACGTACAAAGTTACTTGTAATTATTTCTCAAAAAGACCAAATATTAATTGAAATAATTTGAATAGCTGCCACCACCACGTAAGGTATATTAAAAATAAAGATAAAGGTTAACGTTATTAGAAGAGAACAGTTCTTCAACTTATTCAGTGGCACGTTACATGAAACAAATATTGCTCTGTGAATTTCAGACAGCCTTGACCTGTTTTATTTGACACGGGGTGAATTAGTTGGCGTCTGTTTAAAGTAAGCATCTAGGTTTACTTCAAAGGAGAATAGGGCAGAACTACACCCCAAACTGTCTGTCTGCTTATTGAAATAAGGCCCTAGAAGAGCAATACAGGTATTTTGCGAAACAACTCTTTGAGGTTGGGTGAACATTAAGATATTTATTAGCATTAAGATATAAGGAAACGTGAAGGTATTTGTTGACGTTAACATGAAACCAGAATTGTTAATAGTGATAATTTATAACTGTATTCTAAGTTTTTAGAACTTAACAACTGCATAAGTCGCATCGAAAACGCGGTGAAAATCCCGTAGTGATAGAATATATTGCGTCGGTCTTTAGAGGCTTATTTTATAGACGTGAGAATGTTAGACTTGCTAGTCCTTTTAAGGCATGCAGTATATTGTATTGGGTATGTACATGCTTCTAAATTATGTTTTTTCCAGTGGATTTCAAAGTAATTTTTGCATATTGTTGTTGGAATAAAAGGTCGCGTCTAGCACCGTTTAAGTCAAATCTTATCACCGAGTAGCGCAAAAAAGTTCATGATTTGTTGACATCAATCCACGAACTCATGTCCTAGTCAGATTGGCGGCACCATTGAGGAAGGGCTACCTGAAAAGTGGCTCTCCCTTCAGACCCGCTCCTGCAGTTTCAACTTACCTGAAACGGTGTTTGAAACGGCCGAATGTGAACTTAAAGTGCAGAAGTTTAGATGACATAGTTCAAGTTAACTGTCGCTCAATAAAATGCAATTAGCCATTTTAGCTTTTTTTTATTCAGCATGAATTGGTCTGATGGCGGCGCTGTTAAAGGTTTGTTTTTATTATGGGATATCTATTTTTAAGATATGTAAATATTCAAAGCAGATTTGATGTCGGGTTGTTAAGCATACATCGAGAAATAATTACATGCAAAACTTACTGTAGGGCTAAGTTTTTATCAGACGACGGCGATGTTGTCAGGACTTACATCTATATCATTTAAGAATCACTATGTCATTTTTTGCGCATCATTCTTAGGCATTTTGCCTGTGCCCAACATAACATCAAAATTAAAGATGAACCTACATCTTTTTATAGAGATTATAAATGTGTTATTAAACTTTGTGAACTAAAAAACCGTAAATACAGTTTGAGTTGTATATATGGTTACCCTATAAATTGTTTACTACAATATATACACATATATAAGTAGACTAATTGTATCCTGCTTGGGTATACTTCAGCCTACTTAACATTTAGATCCATCTATACCAATATCTATATATATTGTGAACTTTTTATACACTAACGGGCGCAAGATATTTAACGAGTCAAGACGTTAGCTGATAAATAAGATGTTATTTGCCTTTTATCATTATTATTATCATAATTATTGTTGTTGTTGTTGTCCATTTACATTTAAATCCATCTACAGGCATATTTGATTAAAATATGAATACTAGTTTAAGTAATGCTTACAGATTAGAAGTCAATTTATAGTATACAATATCCAATAAGCTTATAAGAAGACTCAAATGGACATCGATAGCAGTCCAGTTTTCCTTAGGCTAGGCCCAACACTTTATTTGTTAATAAAAATTAAGTAAAATGGATGTTGTCGTAGGGTTTTTACAAGAGATGTCTCTATATGTCCTTGGTTATTTTCTGGTGAGGATTGAATAGCTTATGGGGACGACTCGTTGTTAGTGGCGGAGTGCAATATACAAACTAATAAATTAAGACATTTGTCACTTTATTGTCGACTACTGTAGTATCGAATCAACATCATGTTCTTTTCTACTTTGTAAGAAAGCAAATAGCGGTAGTATGTTGAAAAATATTATGATATAGACTTGTTATAGAGGTTGTGATATTACTTTCAGGAAGATCGTTTTTTTTTCATGGCGTCCTTCCAATCGATAATACCTACTTTACAGAAAAAATAAACAATTGCTAAAAGCATCTATTTACAATTGTACGTGTCACAATATTTGCTTTGGACGGATAAGGCATTTCGTCAATAGTATGCAAGGATGCATATTTTGCACTTAAAACGTTAACTTTAGATGAAAACGTCGTTGGTTTTATTTTGATTGGTGTTTAGCTGGCCTCTAATTAAACCAACCGCCTTAAAAAGTCTTTATGTGGTCCAAGGTTTGTTGAGACCTCGACAATACACATAGCCGGGTGACCGAGAGTTATGAGGACACACGTACGTTTATTGACCGTCTTTATTGACTGGGCCTTTATACAAGTGAAAGAAGTAGGCCATACTCACATAGGCCTATATAGCTAGTACATGTGCATGTCCCAAAGGGGTGTGCCTCTTAGTTACTACGAATTTGACTTCGCTTCTTTGTGGTAGTATGTTGAAGAATGCGATGGCGTGTTGACAACCAACAGTAGTAGACAAGATCCGAGATCTAGATATACTATGAGGGTAAAGTTGTCTTATTTTTACGCCCTCATCTTCACAGCATCAGCCATTTCGATATACGTTGCGTTTTGGGGGGCAAAGCACTTAAATGAAGCAAGTATACACGCTAGCTTATCGCCATCGTATAACGACTTTGACATTTCTCGAGAAAAAATTATATTATATTGGGGAAGTACGATACCCAAGAGGTGTGACTATTTTACCTTTACCAAGACAGGACCGTCGTTCGAAGATCTGAACTGTCCGGTGAACAACTGTGTCTGGACGGATGATAAAACAAAGGTGAAAGAAGCCGACGCGGTCCTCTTTTTTGACCACTGTCTAGGAGAGGTGAAACCCCCGGAGAGAAACCCTCGGGGTCGTTGGGTTTTTGTTGACCACGAGAGTCCCTGTAACAGCTTCAGATATTTGGACAAGTGGGACGGCCTCTTCAACTGGACAATGACATACACCAAGGACAGCGACATTTTTTCTCCAAGTCTCCACTTTGTCAACTTGCCCAATCATGGAGACTACCCATTATTATCCAGAGAACGGTCGCTATCCATTACCAGGGGGAAATCAAAACTGGTGGCTTGGATGGTGAGTCATTGCACCACTCACAGCAGACGAGAAGAATACGTTAAAGAGTTACAGAAATACATCCCGGTCGACGTGTACGGGAAGTGTGGTCCCCTTGTGTGCAAGAAAGGTGACACGCGCTGTTCAGAGGAGTCACTCAACAACGACTACAAATTTTATCTGGTGTTTGAAAACAGTTTAGCGAAAGATTACGTATCAGAAAAATTTTATACAAGGCTACATTTAAACGTTATGCTTATTACTCGCTCCGGAGCAAATTTCAGCAGACTTGGGATCCCAGACGCATTGCACATAGACACTCGGGATTTCAAATCCCCAAAAGATCTGGCAGAGTATCTCAAGCGTCTTGATAAAGATGATGAGAGCTACGCTGCCTTATTGAGAGCAAAAGCAAACCATAGGTATAAGATTCTTAACTCGAGGTATAGTTACTGTGACTTATGTAAAAAGCTGAATGATCCTAATGAGCCGAGAAAGAGTTACAGCGCGGCAGAGATACGAAATCAACATGGCTTCTGTGTGTCACCACACAACCTCCGACCAAGAGGTAGAAGTAGACAACCGCGAGGTAGACACGCATGAATATGAAAAATTAACTGTATAAAACAAATTTACTATGAATGAAATATTTTCATTCTTTATATTCTGTTTTAAGCTAACATTCCCCTTATAGAGTGAGCCACAGGCATTTTTTGTATTCCTGGAGTTTGGACTAGAACAGGTCAGTCATTTTGCTTATGACAATAATTACTCCGGTAGTCTACGTAATTGCTGTATGTAAAATATGCAGTCCATACATTTCAGTGGGAATGATTAACAAGCAAGCACATCAAGGTTTGAATAATAATTTATTGGACAACCAACACATAGCCGACCTTAAGTTTTATTGTATGTAATATGTTTGATAACAGACCATAAAAGAATTGAATCATGTATTTTTCTTTTAGTAAAGAGACATACGAAAAATCGAGTAAAATTTCTAAGATGAGGTGAAATATTAAGTACTTGTACAATACATCACAATTATATGGAGTTTTAACTTTAAAAAGATTAAAGGAACTTAGATGTTTAGCTCTTTTCTACGACCATAGCGATGCAAGTTTCATGGTCACACACATCCCCAGAAATGCACTGCATGACGTCACGCCTAGCCCACTGCGCATGCGTGCATTTTTAATGAGTTGCTAGATTATCAAAGGAAAATGAATGGGTTCGCGATTCGTGGGTAATTCGTGAGAATTGACAAACTAACGGCCTGATGCCGATAGACAGAAACGCTGTGCTATGCTTCAAGCAACTCCTGACCAAATATCGCTAGGGTTTTTTTAAAAAATTCTGTTGTACACACGTACTGAGAAGTTTGCCGTATATTGCCTAGCCTGCCCTCAGCAAAACGCAAATATTTTCAGTAATAGTGATTCTAGACGGTAAATTCACTCAGAAACAAAGGCAAATTAATTCGTTGCCGATAGCACCAGCAGATAGCAGCACCATACAGAGTCTGATTAAAAACTTTCATGGCAATTGAAGATTTTTTACCACTGTACAATGGAGTCCAAAAAAAACACTTGGCACAAATGTAAAACTGCCCAGTGCAAGGCCAAGAATTCAATCAGTATTTTCAATCATATTATCAGATTCTACATAAATTGACTGACCATATCACTGCTCAGTATTTAACTACATGTAATCTCTTAATCAAAAATTCCTATCACCATTTAATAAATATGTAAAATTCTTCTTTCAGATTGCTATTTATTTAAATTTTTAATGCTGCGACTGTTCCAAAATAATCTTGTAGTAAAGGAAAAATGCAAATAAGAAGTGGAAGACCAATTTTACCCACATTATTCAATTATTTGAATATAAAAAGAATAAGATCACGATTTAACAAATTAAAATAATATTTCATGAACTCTTTCACGAATAACATATTAAATAAAAATAAAAGTTATAAATCAGTGGTAATGGCTTATTCTGGAATATATGGCCTCTGCACATCATCAGTACCTGAATTGGTACAGTATAGTTACTACTTGGATACAGAGTTAGATTTAATAATGTAACAATAACAACAATATATATTATAATAATAAACTTCTCTGCACATATCAGACGCTTGTTACCATGAACTAACACTACTTGACAATGGGCTGAGCACTTATCACAGAGTCTGAGTGCGATGCCATTCTTGTGCTGTGATTGGTTAGTTGAGTCACGTGAAGCCCTACTGTTGCGCCCTCGCGTATCGCGCGAATGCTGCACATTTCTGGCCATGAAGGACGCAGAAAGGCCACCGCCCAGTGTAAAGGGGATTTAAGACCCTAATTTGTGTAAAAACGTTTGTGGTGACAACAAAAATAACTACTATCGATCTGGATAATTTTTCAAAAGAGGTGTGGGTCACAATTCAAAAGCGATTGATTTTTCTCTAACTCGTCACCATTTCATAGTAGACTTTATGTAGCTTAACCCAGTTCGCTTTCAGTTTTTGGAATGAATCAATTGTAGTAGCTATAGTGCGTACTTACTCCAAGGAGACTCTTGCTGAATGCAACCAGATTAACAGATTAACACGCCTCCTTTTTTTTCTAACGTACTCGTATAATCCCCAGCATTCTGTATTGTACTCAACGCCAGGAGGAGGCGTCTTTATCTCTTAATCTGACTGCATTCAGCGTGAGTCCCCGTGGAGTTACTGCCCACTATAGCTGGTAGGATATGTCATTTATACTGTACCGGTAAAAAGAGGAATAATATGGATATTGGATAATAGGCCTTTCTGTAACGGTATACTTCGGAATACCCTGAAAACGTTTGAAATACAGTACCTTGACGTACGTTGAAATGCATTGGAATACTTGAAAGTTCTAAACCATTAGGCCTACCATATCGTTCACTGGTTCCTCGTACAATATACTCTATTCATACCCTAACGGCGGTATCACATGGTCAACAGGTCATCTGCTAACATGACAACTACTCAGGCAGCAGCTACTGCTATTCCTTCTTTTCCCGGTCGCATGCTGCACAATTAGATGACGCTGTGTTGAGAATGTTAGCTGGTGCTGGTTACCAAAAGATCGGTAGAAACAACATGCCGTATACGCCTACTACTGGGCTAAAGTCGTCGCTTTTTTGCCCTTTTGTCGTCTCAGCATTATTTATTTTACTATACATAGGACTGGGCAGCGTGTATCTATGGGCCGCACGTCCTACGTTCTCCAACTTGATACACTCAGTAGAAACAAGAGATATACTTCGGAGGGCATCGTCATTGAGCAGCAAAATTGACGTTTCTCGAAAAAAATTAATATTATATTGGGGAAGTTCAATGCCCAACACGTGTGACTATTTTAGACTAATTAAACCAGATCCGACGTTCGAGGATCTGAACTGTCCGGTGAATAATTGTGCTTGGACGGAAGATAAAACAAAGATAAAAGAAGCCGATGCGGTCCTATTTATTGACTACTGCCTGTCAGAGCCGCCTCCCCAGGGGAGAAACCCTCGAGGTCGTTGGGTGTATGTTTGCCACGAGAGCCCGTGTAATAGCTTATGGAGTTTACACAAGTGGAATGGTCTCTTCAACTGGACGATGACCTACACTAAGGAAAGCGACATCTACAGTCCGTATGCACGTCTCGTACATAACGAAAGGGGCAGCTCTGTCTCTGTGTTATCCAAAGAACGGTCGTTATTAATTGCTAAGAAAAAATCAAAACTGGTAGCTTGGATGGCTAGTCACTGCCCCACTAGCAGCAGACGAGAAGAATACGTGGAACAGTTACAGAAATACATCCCAGTCGATGTATACGGGAAGTGTGGTCCCCTTGTATGTGAGCGTAATGACACTCGTTGCTCTGAGTTACTCAACAACGACTACAAGTTTTACTTAGCATTCGAAAATGGTCTTTCAAAGGATTACGTGACAGAGAAATTCTTTAATATGATTCCACTGAATGTAATCCCGATTACTCGGTCTGGGGCAAATTTTAGTCGACTTGGAATTCCAGCAGTACTGCACTTAGACACTCGGGATTTCAAATCTCCAAAAGATCTGGCAGAGTATCTCAAACGTCTTGATCAAGATGATGAGAGCTACGCCGCCTTACTGAGAGCAAAAGTGAAGTACAGGAATCAGATTGTCCAACCTTGGAACAGTTACTGTGACTTATGTAAAAAGATGAATGACCCTAATGAGCCGAGAAAGAGTTATAGTGCTGAAGAAATACGAAAGCAGCATGGCCCATGCCTGCTGCCAAATGACCTCTGACACACACGAGTTAGACAAGCACGAGGTAGATCCGTACGAGGAAGACCAAATTAACTATGAATGATGTGTTTTTTCCTTCTTGTTTTACTGTTCAGAAATAGCATTTTTGTAAGTCGCCCTACGTGTAGTGTTTGTATTGCAAAGTTAGGCCTACTAGTAAGGTCAGGTCAAGATCAGGATTTAAATATCCCCTGTAAAAGATGGATGTTATAGATTTCTGTGATTTAAGTGAGATTATGCCAAATCACTGAAAAATGTTGAACAACCATGGACCACATGAACAACCATGCAACAAATAGTGCGGAAAGTAGTTTTTCCTTTTTTGAGGTAAAAAAAGCACAACAATAAAATAAATTTTCTACTTCTAAAAACAGTGCTCTTTTCGGAATCAAAATTTCAAATTTACATAATACGTGTACCTACGCATATACAAATACTGGCATTACATATTAGAAATGTGCAAAACGGTCAGTAAAAGTTACTGGGTATGTGACAGCTATGTACTGACACGGTGTAAACGACATACATGAATGTACGGGATTGACGGGAGATTGATAACTCAGATTCAAAATGAAAGACTGTCAATATTCTTGAAAATTTCCGGAAGCCGGTAGGAGACAGTGTTGATCGATACCTGTACTTGGACAAGTAGCATCCAATATTTATACCACTCCAGGTCTAAATGCCATCTTAGTACACGATAATGTAGTTTAAATGTATACTATACGTGTTATAGAACGTCCCAAAGCCGTAATTTTTTATGTCTTCATGGCCTATAAAATAACATACTAATCTTTTTTTAATTTAGACCTTAAAAGCAATAAAACACCTCAAATAAAGGTACCTAATGCTTATACATCCTTCTGAGATGTGAATTAAGAAATGGCGGTCTGAATATATTACTGTCTGATCAGACACTTGGAAAAAAAAAAGGAAAAAACATCAAATCCAAGCGCTGGGTCAGGTCGAGTAATGATTCATCAGTAGGAGAATATATATATATATTTTTTTTTTGAGTGTGAAAAATTCGATTTACCTCTGATGTTTATTAAGACATCAATTTAAACATAACCACCTTGTCACTGATTGAATTAGTTTAGTGTTGCTGAACCTTTAGCCATCAGTGTAATATGGGCCACGAGCGATTAATCATTTTGTATGGCTTAATTATGCTACACGCAACTTCAGCATGTTATTTACACGGGAATACTATCATGTGTCACATTCTTTATCATATGTGTATTTAAGCTGGCCTTTTGGACAGGTCTGCTAACAGGGTCAGCAGTTGTGTGTAGTTACCTAACTGATAAAAGAGATAAGCCGTCAGCCATACTGTAGATAGTCATACTTATGATACTTTAAACTGCCTGCCGTTGCTGAATAAGGGCGCTCTAGAGCCTGGGCGCTTGCTTGCCTCTCTTTCATGAGTGTTCATTGGCTAAGTGGAGGACAGCAAGAGGGAGAACTTTGTGAAGAATATGTCACTCCATCCAAACCGACAGGATGGCACAGGAGGATCAAAACGTTGGATTAAATTGTCGTTTTTCTACGTCATTATCTTCACGGCAGTTATAATTTCACTTCTTGTGTATAAATCATGGGACGAGGTGGTTATTTTGGCAAAACACAAGCAATCCAGCGCGATGAAAGGCTTTCTAAACGCAACAGACACGCCAAAATCTCTTTCCAACAATACCGGCATTTTGCAGCCAAAAATGATCTTATATTGGAGAGTCAATAAGTCGTGTGCATATTTCACCCTTACCAAACCAGGACCTTCGTTCAAGGATCTAAACTGTCCGGTGAACAACTGTGTCTGGACGGACGATAAAGCAAAGGTGAAAGAAGCCGACGCGGTCCTCTTTTTTGACCACTGCCTGAAAGATGTGATTCCCCCTCAAGATAGAAACCCTCAAGGCCGTTGGGTTCTTGTTAACCACGAGAGTCCATGTCACGTCAATACCTTTAAAGTTTTGTCTCAGTGGGACGGCCTCTTCAACTGGACGATGACGTACACGAAAGACAGCGACATCTACAGTCCGTACGCACAAGTTATACGTAACGATGGGGACAGCCCGGTGTTATCCAGAGAACGGTCGTTATCAATCGCCAGAAATAAGTCGAGCCTGGTGGCTTGGATGGTTAGTAACTGCCGCACTCTTAGTAAACGAGAAAAATACGTAGAAGAGTTAGATAAATATATCCCAGTCGACGTATACGGGAGATGTGGGCCTTTGGCGTGTGAGCGCCGAAGCAAACGTTGCTCTAAGATTCTCAGCGACTACAAATTTTACTTAGCATTTGAAAATAGTCTTTCAAAAGATTACGTGACAGAGAAATTCTTCAACATGATCCCAATGAATGTAATCCCGATTACTCGATCTGGAGCAAATTTCAGCCGACTTGGAATTCCATCAGCATTGCACATAGACACTCGGGATTTCAAATCTCCAAAAGATCTGGCAGAGTATCTCAAACGTCTTGATCAAGATGATGAAAGCTACGCTGCCTTACTGAGAGCAAAATCCAACTACAAGCTTCTTAGTTGGAAGCATAGTTACTGTGACCTATGTAAAAAACTAAATGATCCTAAAGAACAGAGCAAGAGTTACAGTACTTTAGAAATAAAAGAACAGCTTGGATCATGCGTGCCACCAAATGACCTGCAACATCATCACTTCTTACAGAATCGACCAGAAGATGAAATATATATGGAAGTACCTCATAACTGATGTATATGAAATCTCTCATATTTAACAAAGTACAAATCACCATGCATCACAACCAAAAACAGTGTTTATTCAATCAGGCATTTAACAAAACAAAAAAAAAAAAAAAAAAAAAAAAAAAAAAAAAAATAAATAAATAAATAAAGCTGATATCCCGTATGAGCTAAGCCTTCAAATTACTTATATCGCGCATTTATATTTGTACTTAGGAACAAAAACAAAAAAAAAAACGTTTACTACTTTGCTGATGCACGCAGTTCCAACGGCCGTTGCTTGCTGGATACATTTTCTTAGGTTTCATTCACATGCAATGTCTATTTTCTAAATTCTATTTTCTATTCGCGGTATGTCTTATGATCACGGTCTGTGCCCTGAATATCCCGCGGCGTAATTACTGGCA